CCCGCCTGTCTTCTGATGTGGATGCTTTGCCCCAAAGTTTGGTGTCATCTGCGAACTTGGCCAGTCCGCTTCTGACTCCAGTGTCCACATCATTAATGAAGATGTTGAACAGTATGGGTCCAAGGACAGAGCCCTGGGGGACCCCACTGGTCACTGGCCCTTCCATCCAGGAAGAGCACACACCAACTGCTGCAGCTTCCTGAGCCTGACGAAGGGTTTTTGAACCCGAAATCTTGCTTAATAACTATTCTCCAACCATTTGGGTTGGTCTAATAAAAGATATCAAATTCACCCAAGGAACCTTGTCTGCCTATATCCTTAGACCAACACGGCTACAACCTAAACCCCTGCAAACAGTGTCAAAGGCCTTCTTGAAGTCCAGATAGATGACATCCACCTCAACGCCCGCATCTAAGGACTTGATAAGTGACCTGGTCATGAAAGGAAACAAGGTTAGTCAGGCAGGATCTGCCCGCAATGAACCCGTGTTAGTTGCCCCTGAGCATTACCTCCCATGCTGGGCCCCTGCAGATATATTCCTTGATAATTTTCTCAAAGGTCTTCCCAAGGACCGAGGTGAGACTAAATTGCCTATAGATACCTGGGTCCTCCTTTCTCCCCTTCTTGTAAATGGGGACCACATTGGCCCTTTTCCAGTCCTCTGGGACATGGCCAGAGCACCATGAGTGCTCATACAGCCATGCCGGGGCCCTGCTATGACCCCCACCAGTTCCCACAGTACCCTCAGATGAAGAGCACCTGGACCTACTGATTTATACATGTCCAGCCCCTCCAGAAGTTCCCTAACTAGATTGTTCCTGACCCTAGGCATGGTGTTGTGTCCCCTGAGCCTGTCCATAATCCTAGGGGGGGAGTTGTCCTGGTCCCTGCTCAGAAATATGGAGGCAAAGAACTTGTTGGAGGGATCAGCTTTTTCCTTTGCTGCAATCACCAGATTGCCAAGCCTATCCTGTAGGGGCCCCACATTACCTGCTGCCTTCTTCTTACTTCCTATGTATTTGAAAAATAATTATTTGTTATCCTTAATTCTGGTCGCTAGCCCTAGTTCCGTCTCTGCCTTGGCCTTCCCAACCGCCTCCCTACAATCACAAGCAAAGGAGGTATAATCCTCTTTCGTGATTGCCCCTTGCTTCCACTGATTGTATGCCATCTTTTTTTGCCCTCAGGCTCTCCTGGATGCCTTTACTGAGCCATGTGAGCATTCAGACCTGGCTGACTGCTCCTCCCAGCAGATGTCTGGGTAGTTTAGGTCACCCATGACAACCACATCCTTGTCCTTACAGCCTCTATGAGCTGACCTGAAAATTCCAGGTCCAGCTCATCCCCCTGGTGAGGCGGTCTGTAGTAGACGCCCACTATCAAGTCCCTTTCCCCACGTCCCCAGAGCGCCTCAGTTTGCCTCTCTTCTGAACCCATCCTGATCATCGAGGACGTGTACTGTTCATTAACATAGCGCACTACAGCCCCACCTTTTCTCCCTACTCTATCTCGTCTATACAACCTATAGCCTTTGATGTCTACTGCCCAGTCAGGGGTAGAATCCCACCAGGTTTCTGTAAGCCCAACCAGGTCTGGGTTTTTGCTAGCTAGGTAAGGAGGTTGGAACTTATTGAACAGGCGGCAGAGACTAGGCTAGGCAAAGGGACTACTTCTGGGATGCAGGAAGAGAAATATGAAGGAGACAGGGAACAAGTGTAGGGTGAAGAAATGAGATCAGAGGAGACATTAGGAGAAGACTGGGATAGGAAGTGGTGGGGTGAGGACGTAGAAGATCTGATAAGGAGCAAGAGTGTGAAGGAGAAGCTAGATTGGTTAAGAGCATAGCCACTGAGCTGAAGACCCATGGAGGCAAGGATATTGGGGCTGGATTAGGAGAGAGAGACTGGGCCTGGAAGTTAATAAGGACAGGAAATATAGAGGACAGCAGCCTGAGGCCAGGGAGGGAATAGAGGCACTGGTCAGGGAATGGAGGGACGGAAAGAACTGCTTGGGTAAGGAAATTTGGAACAAGGAGCTGAGATAGGGTGAGATAGATTGGGAACACCTGGACAAGATGACTGGAAGCAGAAAAGGTAGGAAGACTGGGACTGGGATTGGGGAGACTGGTCCTAGTGCAGCTAGTCTGGATGGGAAGACTGGGATTTACTGGAAAGACAACCTGGACTGGAATCATATATCTGAAGAGTACAGAGTAAAATTACATTAGGAGAATGGGACTGGAATAAGGCAGCATTAGTAGGGAAAGGAAAGGTCCAGGACAGGGACAGGTGGAAGAGATGGAGCAGAAGGATCAAACTTGGGAGTATGGATAGAATAGTCCATGTGCCAAACAAATCACACACCTGTCCAGAGTATGTAATCACGTAGCTGATTCCTGTATTAAAATAAACATGCACAAGGGATTGAAATTAAGATTGCACAGACATCCTTGATTCTGGCAAAGTTTTAAACATTTGGCTTTGCAACCTTAAAAGTGTTATCTTAACATAATAGATTTGTGTGTGATGATAAAAAGGTAAAATTCACACTTTTGGAGGAAAAACTTGACCAAGGTCCTGGTTCAAGCACTGCCCTAGGACCCAGCTTTAGTTCCTCTGCTGCTACAAACCTTGGTCATGTCTCTTGGCCTTCAGGAATCTCTCTTCCTATCCGTACAACAGAAAGAATAACCCAGCGTTGCCATAACTGGAGGCTGGGATGGAAAAAAAAACATTACAAATTGTGAGGTGCTCAGATACTGAGGGAATGGGGGACATAAATATCCAAGAGACTGCAATGTGGAGCTGTAATTGGTATTTCATATAAGCTGGGGAGGGGGAAGGCAAACATGAGACCTAATGTAAAGGGAAGAATCAAAAGCTGCAAGGGTGTTCCTTTTATTGCCTGTTATCATGCATCTGTCTGTTTGTATCATAAGGCTAATAAGGCCAGATGTGATTTGACAATCTCATCTTTAGACCACTTTCACAAAGATGTTTTTGCATTGCATTCAGTATCTCACTGGAATCACTTACTGAAACAGTTTACATAAAAGACCATGCACAAAATCCATGTGTTGCAGAGATGGGACCCCACCCACTTCCCTCACCCGGCGTCCTGGAAGTCCTGTAATGCTGAGAATCCTGCTGGCACATGCTGCTCTTTGCCATGGGACTTTCTCTAATCCTACTAAAGATCAAGTGCCAAAGGGTTAATTAACATTCCTGACCCCACTTGCAGGCTTCTGGCATGGAAGGCCATAATGGAGCAGGATGTGTGCACAGAACACAGACCACAAGAGGGCATCAGTGCTGCATAGCAGGGCTGATCCAGCCATCCAAACTAAAGGATCTTCTCTAAAGCCGTCTGGAGCTTAGTGTGTTCAGCAGCAGGGAGGAGGAACTGTGTTGGCTGCTACAACTCTGCTCCCAGGGCACTAGAGAGGCTCAGAGCTGAACCTCCATAAGAGTCTTTAGACAGGGAGAGAAAGGAAGGGATTCCAGTATCCGCTGGCATAGCTCCAGCTTCAGAGAGAGAAGAGGTAGTGGAGATGCAATATAAACCCATACAAAGAGGCAGCTGCTGCTGATCTAGGACTGGGATACTCACAGTGATTCTCCCAGGATAACAAGCACAAATGGAAAACTCAGTATTTCCGCAGAGACTTCCCTTTCATCCTCGTCCCCCAACAGAGGAGAGCACAGTGATTGGGAACACGGACGCTGTGCGCTGCTGGGAATGCTTCTGGGAGTTCTGGAACTACGAGACCCCCAAGGTGATTGTAGTGAAGAACCACAACCTTGGCATCCTCTACAGGGCGATGCAGCTTCTCATCCTGATCTACTTCATCTGGTAGGTACATACTAGTGCTAAGTTGGAGAGGCATGGGGCCCCAAGGAAGTGGCAGAATGAGGCCAGGAGTGAGAGGATACCAGCAAGTTCTGTCCATCCCCAATGCCATGAGCATCCTGCTGGCCCCATGACAAAACTAGGGGATCCAGTGTTAGGTTTGGGGCTTACAATGGGCACTTTGCTAACTGCAACCACAGAAAGTGAGGCGAGGAGAGGATTAGGAGGAACCTCATTCAAGAGAGACCAGACTCAGACAAAAGGGATAGTGAGGCCAGACCTTAAACCATGGGTGCAATAAGGCATGGGCTAGCTGGGCCCAGGCCCAGGGGCCCCTGCCTTGGCGCAGATGAAACAGGCAGCCGAGCCGGGCCAGGCATACGCAACACGGTGAGCCATGGCTGCCGGGTGCCATTTGCTGGGTGGTACTGCAACCGGACTGAGCCATGGTGGGTGAGGGGCTGCTCCCGGAGCTCGGTCCGTGCTGCACACACCTGGTGGGCAGTGGCTCTAAACCTGCTGTGATGGCTCCAGGGATGGAGCCTGTGGCTGCAGGGCAGAGGGCAGGGTGCAGGTCGGGGGGGCACAGCCCAAGGCCCAAATTAATCTTAATCTGCTCCTGCTTTGAACTCTTCATCCAACCACACTCCACACCCAAGCCCTTTGAAAAGTGGCTGTTTCTTGTGTTTTTTGCACATAGCCTTTTCTACTTAGCAAACACTAGGGCTTGCAAATAAAAGAAACATATGTTTCAGGAAATTTTTAAGAGCATTTCTCATTAAAATGTCATTTTTCTCCCCAGCAAAAACCAAATGTTGTGGTAACAGTTTTTAATGTTCATATATAGTTGTTGGTAAAATAAACCAGTATGGAGTAAAATAATATTAGATTTTGAAAAGCAGTAAAACTTTAAAACTTTACTAAAAATTTTTTTGGTTTTCAGCATGATTTCAATTAAAATGAAAATTCCCAGGTCATTTTTGTCAAAACAGGTCAAATATGTTCTAGCAAATACATACACTTTTGTCTCCCTGTAACTTGTTCTTTATCTTTTTCATATGTTTCTCCTTCCCCTCCTTGTGTGTAATCTATTTTTCTCCAGCTCCTTTTTCTAGGTTAAGAACTGTTCTTTTATTCAGTGCCCTCCAGCTTTCCAGGTTGTGCTCTTTTCTTTCTTCTCCCTTCAGGCTCTCTCTCTCTCTCTCTCTCTTCCATTCCTTTCCTTTTTTCTTGTTGCAAATTCCCATTCTTTCTGGCCTCTGGCCTATTTCATCAACTCTCACACATCTTTCTGCCTTCTCCAAATAAGCAGTTGCTTGTGTCCTGACTTTTCTTCTCCTGACTCCTTACCCACAGAGTCACTGTCTCACTTTCTGTTGTACTAGCAAACTGCATGCCCTGCACAACGCAGCAAGTGTGTAACACACTGGCTCTCCTACTATCTACCCAGACATGTTAGCTCCCTTTGCCTCAAATTCATGTAGGCATAGGATAGCAATGTTTAAAGCAGCTGCAGGTGTGGCATTTTAAGCACATAATTTAATGATCTAATTTGCATATAACCCATGTGGATTTTGTGCAGGTAATTATGATCTTCCCTTAGAGCAGGGGTGGATAATCATTTTGGCCCAGGGGTCACATAGGGAGTTTTGATGAGCTATTGCAGGCCAGATCAGCACCCCCACTCCCCTCCCCACCCAACAACTCACTGACATTCCCTATGTGGGATGGTGCCGCGGGTGGGCAGGGAGCAGTGTTTGGGAGCAGGATGGGTGATCTGTTCCATGCACATCCACTCCCTGATCTTCCCTGCCCTGTGGGTGGGGAGGGAGGTGTTTGGGGAAGGGCTGCATGTGTGTGTTTCGGTGGGGCTGCCTGGGTGCTAGGTCTCAGGATCTGTCTGGGGATGGAGGCTGGCAGGGAGCATGTGCAGCAGAGCTCACCCCGGTGGTGCAGCAGTCCATGGTGCTGCGCATAGGGACGAGCCACGCTGGTTCCGGGGCAGCCCCCACCACGCTCCCACCCCTTGCCTCCAATGGCAGCTCCTGCTCCTGCTGTGCCACTCCGGGTGGGAAGGGAAGCTTCAGCTGGGCAGCTCCTGTTCCAGCATGCAAGGCTCTGGCTCCAGCTCCCAGCCACCTTCCACTCACTCTGCTCGCCCGCAGGTGGAGCAGGTGGAAGGAGGCTGGGAGCTGGAGCCAGAGTCTGGCACACTGGGGCAAGAGCTGCCTAGCTGCAGCTCCCCCCTCAGCCTGGAGCAGTGCAGCAGGAGCAGGGGGAAGAGGAGGAGGAGCTGCCTCTGGAGCATAGGGGGATTAACACATGGGCCAGGGGCCCCCAGATGCCTAGAGGGTGGGCATAGGGTGGGGCAGGAGGGGCAGGCTGGGCTGGCCATGGCTGCAGGTACCAGGGGGTGTGCAACCGCGCTGGAGCCACCGGGGGCAGGAAGCGGGGCTGGGCACATTGCGTGGCCAGGACCTGCTGGCAGCAGGGTGGTCCCAGCGCAGCAGGTCCTGCACATTTTCCAGGCAAGTACCGCTGCAGCCAGACTGAGCCGTGGCGGGGTGAGGGGCTCAGTCTGCATCGCACATGCCCGGTGCCACCCAGCTGCAGGGTGATGTTGCGTGGGGTTCTGGCCCTGGGCTCTGGCTTCAGTGCAGACCTGCGGGTGGGGGCGGTCATGGCCCCTGCCCTGGGCCCAGGCAGCAGGCCGTGAGTCCTGCTCCAGCCACTGCTCCAGTGCGCTGGGCGGGGATGGAGCCCACGGCTGCGGGGTGGGCCATGGCGGGTGCCCCAGGCCATGCGGGTCACCCCAGTCCCAGTGAATCTTAGTCCACCTCTACACTGCAGGCAAAGGGAGCTGAGCAGCACCCGCAGGGCTATAGCTGCATCAGGAGAAGCCCCGCATACTGGCCGGGGCTGGGGCTGGGGACAGTGGGCGCTGGGTGTTGGCAAGGGCACAGTGCTGGCTGCCACAGGCTGCGTTTGCCCCATCCAGAGTGCCGTGGGGGCAGCCATGGGCCGGATCCAGTCAATTGGTGGGCTCCCCCCATGGGCTAGATCCAATCAACTGGTAGGCCAGATACAGCCTGTGGGCCATATTTTGCCCACCTCTGCCTTAGAGCATTAGCTTGGCACCTTCCCGTACACACTGCTCAGTTAGCTGGCATAAGTCTAGCAGAGATTTCATCTAATGCAGTTTCCTTGACCCATGCCGTTCTTGGTCTCTTGGCTGAATCTTCTCATAGGGGAAAGCACAGCAGTGAGTTTGTGATGCAGCTGTTGAAATACAGACTCACCAAACTCCTCTCATATAGGGACCACCAAGAATCTATTAAAGAGTAACAATTTTAACCCCTGTTGAGCTGGATGGGATTTGAACTGGAGACCTGCAGCTGCATAACTGTCTTTAACAGTGCCTTGGCATGTCCCTGGCACTAATATTGTACTACCAGGAATTAGGTTTGCTTTCTGGAAAATATTAAGTCAAGTCAAATCAAGTGGGCTAGAGTGTTGGGGGGACATGACATATTCTCAGGGGCTCATCCCACTATTTATGATAGGTGTCATGGTCTGTGAATTCGAGCTCCAGGTCTAGGAGCAGAACAGCAGAGTATTTCTCCATGGTTTTCCTTCCCACTTTGTACTGGGATTCTTCTAGGACCTGCTGCCATCTATCTGGGATCTAGCTTGGAGGACTCTGCATTCATTAGTAATGGACAGGATGGTTTCAGGCACCTGATACCTGTTTGCAGTGGCCAGGTTGAGAATTCATAGGTCCATGAAGCAGCCCAAACAAGCACGTACCTTGTCACGCTCCATCTGAAACACAGGCTGGCAATGGGGACAAGATGTCCTGTACATGCAGGGTTTGGGTTCTGTTCCCACCCTGCCTGCTGTGATCTTGTGCAACATTTCAGTTACTGTGGTTGTACAGTGGACCATAGTGGCATGTCAGCCCTTGGTTAACAAGGAGGACACTGAAATACACAGCTGTATTAACTGCAGTTATGGGAAGATCTGAAAATAGTACCTTGACCTCCTGGTTTGCAGGCTAGTAACACCCAACCTATACTGGGTGGTGTATCATTGTGACAATATTTGGGTTCCAGGGGTGGCTGTGACACCCCCTGCTGGCTATGCAACCCTTGCCCTGCTTTGGCTTTACAGTACCCTCTCTCCTTCTCACCTGCCACACTTTGATGCAACTACTGAATGTTAGAAAGGGAAGCTGCTTAAGGGTCCTAGAGCGAGACCTCAGTTCTTCTGACACCCAGCAGGTCCCACCTGGACCCCACTGGTTTTAGTCCTACTTTGAACTCCGTGGGCCCTCTCAGCCAAGTTGTGCCCCTCAAGGTACTTGTAGCTTTAAGGGCTTTTCACAGTCTCCAAACCTCCCTTCAGCCATACCCTTGCCTTGCAGGTGTTATAGTACTATCGCTCCTTTGTCCGGACCTTGGTCTTCTCAGCCTCACCCATTTTTGTCTGGGCCTTCTAGCCTGGGTCTGCTGTACTGGACCTCGCTTCTGGGCACCAGGTTGTATTTTGATTACTTTAGTCCTGAGCCGCCAAACCCTGTCTCTGCCCTGTTTTGGATTTGAGCCTGCTTTGGATTTGTCCGGGCCCCCTGGCCCTGTCCCAGCCCTGCTCTGGGCAATGAGCCTGCTTTGATTCTTTCTGAGCCTTCCTCTGCATCCTCCAGCGCCAGATTGCCTGTGTAGGCTCAGGCCCCGAGCATATATACATATTAAGCCCTGCCCCCTTCTGGTCAGGTGACTAGGTATGTTCACAAGTATGTTTATTCTGACCCTGAAGACCTGCCTGCCTGCCCGTGCTCTGCTCAGTTACTGTCTTCAGCTCCCAGCCCCAGAGCAGCCCAGCTATCTGTCCCCTGTGCCTACCACTGCTGGCCTTTGGCTATAACTCAGCTAGCTGCTAGCTAATTCCTTAAATCCTAGTTTTCCCTGAGCCAGCTCACCCTGCTGCAGTTTCCTCTTGGGTGTGTCTACATGTTCATTAATGTGTTTTAGGTAATACACATTCAATCTAGTATCTCCATTGTGAGGTACTAGAAAAATGCGCATTAGCCTATTTTAATGCACATTGCTAAAGAGCATATTTTTGTGATGCTTTAATGCACATTAAAATAGGCTAATGCACATTAAAGTGCACATGTAGATACGCTCTAGGTAACAGGAGCTTTCTTGCTTCCTGTTACAGTCATCACATTAGAAGACGGTTGTGAAGTGAATGGCTGCGCCACCAAGCTCATGTCCCGCCAGTGTTATGTGTGCATGATTTGGGAATCCCTACCCTAAGCTAAAGGGATTCCTGGTATGAAGGGTCCCTCTCCTAAGAGACAGGATTTCACCTCATCTGCAGACAAGGTTAACAGGACTGCATCATACACAAGTACCACATGAGATGTATAACCCCTGCTTGATTTATATATAGTCTCCCAGACCTGCGTAAGAATTGTTAACCAGACTGCCCACATTTCTGCAGAGGCTGTGCTGAACTCTGGTTCCCAGGATGGGGAGTGAGGGTGTTTTTAATGGCTTCTGTCTCAACAGGTATGTGTTCATCATCCAGAAGGGATACCAAGAGAGTGAGACAGGCCCCGAGAGTTCAGTCATCACCAAGGTTAAGGGCATCACCCACTCACATGACAAGGTGTGGGACGTGGAGGAGTATGTCAAACCACCTGAGGTGAGACTGATTCTGTCCCTTGTCTAAAACAAGGCTGTGACACTGCCCTTCCTTACCCCTTCCTCCTGACCTGAGGCTATTACATGGCCCACCCCTCCTCCCAGGAGAAACTGTGACACTGCCCTTCCCCCAAGGTAATGCTAAGACATTGTTCCACACTCCCCAAGGCCTATCCCAATGGAGACTAGATTCATAGATGCTAGGGTCAGAAGGGACCTCAAAGGATCATCGAGTCTGACCCCCTACCTGTGGCAGGAAAAAATGCTGGGGTTATGTGACCTCAGCCAGGTGCTTGTCCAGTCTCCTCTTGAAGACCCCCAAGGTAGGGGGAGAGCACCACCGCCCTTGGGAGCCAGTTCCAGATTCTGGCAACCCTGATCGTGAATTAGTTCTTTCTGATGTCCAACCTAAATCTACTCTCTGTCAGTTTGTGGCCATTGTTTCTGGTTATGCCAAGGGGTGCTCTGGTAAACAGAGCATCTCCTATTCCCTGTTGCCCCCCCCCCCGGTGAATTTGTATACTGCCACAAGAGCTCCCTCAGCCTTCTCTTGCGGAGGCTGAAAAGGTCCAGGTCCCTCAGCCTTTCCTCATAAGGCCTTCCCTGCATGCCTCTAACCATATGAGTGGCCCTCCTCTGGACCTCTCAAAGTTGTCCACATTCTTCTTGAATTGCGGTGCCCAGAATTGGATGCAGTACTCTAGCTGTGGCCTGACCAGTGCCGCATAGACGGGGAGCATCACCTCCCTGGACCTGTTTGTGACACACCTACTAATGCATAACAAAGTGTGGTTAGCTCTGCTAATTACTTCATCACATTGATGACTCATATTCATCTTGGAGTCAACAATGACTCTGAGATCTCTTTCTGCCATTGTGCTGCTGAGAAGATTGTCCCCCAGCCTATAGGTGTGCTGGTGATTCCCTCTCCCTAAGTGCAGCACCTTGCACTTGTCCTTGTTGAACTGCGTCCTGTTGTTCTCTGCCCGCTTCTCTAACCTGTCCAGGTCTGCCTGGATTCAGTTTCTTCCCATCAGTGTGTTTGCTTTGCCCCATAGTTTGGTGTCATCTGTGAATTTGGACAGAGTGCTTTCCACCCCCTCATCCAGGTCACTGATAAAGATATTGAACAGCACCAGCCCAAGGACCGAGACTTGGGGGACCCCACTGCTCACATCTTTCCAGGTTGATACTAACCCGTCCACCACCACTCTCTTGGTACAACCCGTAAGCCAATTTGCCAGTCACGTGACTGTGTAATCGTCTATGGCACAGCCATTCAATTTGTTTGTAAGAAAAGGATGGGATACTATGTCAAAGGCCTTCTTAAAGTCCAAGTAAATGACATCTACCTCGACTCCTGCATCTAAGCATTTAGTGACCTGGTCATAGAAAGAAACAAGATTAGTCAGGCAAGATCTACCTGCTATGAACCTGTGCTGGTTCCCCTTCAGCATTACCCACTGTACTCCTAACAAATGTGATCCTTGATAATTTTTTCAAGGGTTTTCCCAAGGATAGAGGTGAGACTAACAGGTCCATAGTTACCTAGATCCTCCTTCCTTCCCTTCTTGAAAATAAGGACCACATTGGCCCTTTTCCAGTCCTCTGGGACCTCACCTGAGCACCACAAGTGCCAACAGCTCTGCTATGACACTGGCTAATTCTTTCAGCACCCTTGGATGGAGCGCATCCGGTCCCACTGATTTAAACACATCCAGCCCCTCCAAGTGTCTCTTTACTAGGTTGGTGCTGACAGTTGGTGGGCTGGTGTTTCTCTTGCTTCTGTTAGTAATGCATTTGGGAGATTTGTCTAGATCCGAGTTCAAGAATACAGAGGCAAAATACTCATTGAAAAGCTCTGCTTTCTCCCTCCTATTTGTCACCAGCTATCCTTGTGTATCCTGTAGGGGTCCTATGCTGCCCTGCACCTTCTTTTTGCTCCCTCTATATCTGAAGAAGGACTTTTTGTTGTCCTTAATTTTTGTCACCAGCCTGAGTTCTAATGCTGCTTTGGCCTTTCTAACTCATTCCCTGCAAGTGCGAGCCAGGGAGGTAAACTCCTCCTTGGTAGCTACTCTGTGCTTTCGCAGCCTGTATGCCCCCTTTTTTGCCCTTAGGCTTTCCTGGATTTCCCTGTTTAGCCAGGAGGGTTTTTTGGCCCCTTTGCCCACTTTTCTATGCAGTGGGATTCCTCCTTCTGCACCTGAAGGATCGCTCCCTTGAGGAACGACCACCCTTCCTGGACACCCATTTTGTCAATGCTCTTGAGCTTTAACACCTCACTAACTAATCTCCTGAGCACAATGAAGTTAGCCTTTCAGAAGTCTAGCACTTCAGCCCTGCTGGTTACTTTTTCCACCCTTCGCTGGATAGTGAATTCAGTCAATTGATGCTCACTATCCCCTAGGTTACCTTGTACCTGCAGATCCCCAACCAGGTCATCCCCCATAGCCAGCACCAAGTCCAGCAAGGCATTCCCCCTAGTGGGATCATAAACCTCCTGCATTAGGTGGAAGTCCTGTACGCTGGTTAAGAAACTACATGAGCGGTTAGATTTGGCTGACTGCTCCTCCCAGTAGATGTCAGGGTAGTTTAGGTCACCCATGACAACCATGTCTCTCGACCATACGGCCTCTGAGAGCTGCCCTGAGAATTTCAGGTCTAGCTCGTCCTCCTGGTGGGGTGGTCTATAGTAGACCCCCACTACCAAGTCCCTTTCCCCCCCGACGCGCTTGTATCCTGGCCCACAGTACCTCAGTTTGGCCGTCCTCCGATCCCATCTTGATTATAGAAGGTGTATATTGCTCCTTAACATAGAGAGCAATACCCCCCTCCCCACTTTTTCTTCACTCTATCCCATCTGTGCAACCTATAACCTTCAATGCCTACTGCCCAATCATGAGTAGGGTCACACCAGGTTTCAGTTAGCCCAACCAAGTCAAAGTTGTTGCCTCCAAACAGGAGTGCAAATTCAACCTGCTTGTTCTCCATGCTCCTAGCATTAGTGTAGAGACATTTAAACCCTGCAATGGGTCCCTTGGTACCCCTCTGTCCTGATGTCTATCAGGCCCCCTAGTGCTTACTTGGGCTGATCCAGTGCATGGTTTGTGGTTCTCTGAGCCTAGGTTCTCATTGTCCACTGCATCCCCGTCCCCTGACAAACCTAGTTTAAAGCCCTTTGGAGGAGATCAGCCAACCTGTAAGAGAACAGACTCTTACCTTTAGAAGAAAGATGATGCTATGATGCTGTCTTCCTTCCTCCCTCCCCTCTTGTGTAATACAATTTCCCCAATCCCTTGAAAGGGTTGAGGTTTGTGGGGGCAACCAAATGGGTATGGCCAGGTTGCTCTGGACACTGTTAATGCTGACCAGCCCAGCACTAAGAAGAGTGACTCCTTTGTATGTGCCTGGTTATCCTGCTTAGGGATTGGACCTACTGGTTTCTCCCTCCCTGCCTTACTACTCTTGCTGGACTCCCATGAACACAGAGGGTCTGTGTACTGTGGCCTAAGCAGGGAAAGTGGGGAATTAATCATAGATTTTGGAGAGGGATTTTCTTAAAGAATAAAGTAACTGGAGAGCATGGGAGCCCAGGGGTAGGAAAGTTGCCATGTACTGCATTGGCTCTGGCCCTCAGGGCACACCCCTCCCCAAGTGGCCCCAAGTGAATGAACACTGCAGGCAGGGCTCTCCTGTTTTTTGAAGTGGAGCATTTGAGTCAGAAGGTGAGCTAGGTCCTTTGTAGCTGGGAGCACATGGGTCAAGTCCCATGCATATGGGACTAAAGAAGAATGTGCAGTGCAGATATAGGTACCATTGCCTGGCCAAAGGATGTAGACTAGAAACCTCCTGCCTCTGCCTAATAGGCTTTTGTAGGTCCAGACTCCCTTGGGCTTTCTCTGGGGAACCAGGATCCTTGCTTGCCAACAGTGAAATATATCCACTCCAGGAGAAATCACCTCCTCTGAGCTGCTCTAGTATGTTGGATGGATTTCAACACATGCTCTAACTTGTTGGATTTCCATAGGGTGTCTAATGTGCCCCTCACATATACCAACCAAGAATGCTGGGTCTGGGATTGTTAGCCCCAGTTGTAGGCAAGACACAGTCCACCCTTGGGGAGATAGCCCACTTTGGGTGGCAGAGAACTCTTTGCTGGCAGTGAAAGTCCTCAAGGAACGTCTGTGAAGAAGACACCCCAGCACAGCTTTCGTAAGGGGCAGTCTGCTGCAGAACTTCAATGTGAGAGCTAATGCAACAGTGGAGTAAAGAGACTGGCCTAAGGAAGAGGGAATCCCACGTATTGTCCTCTCCTCATTGTAATAGAGGAATGGTGTCCTTGCTATTTTATCAGCTGATATTTAAGGATCAGGCGCTCTCCAGTGAGAGTCTATGAGACCACTAATTCAAAACTTGTCAATGTCTCTCAGAGCTCGCTGGAAAGTGGCTGGGGGGGGGTGCAACTGGGAATGCACAAAGAGTGTTGTTTCTTTCCCTGTCTGCTTCACAGGGTGGCAGTGTGTTTAGCATCATTACACGGGTTGAAGTTACACACTCCCAGACCCTGAAGACCTGTCCTGAGGTAAGCCATCCTGAGTCAGACAGAGTTTATAGAGGTGGTGGGTAGATGAAGGTAAACTGGTCGTAAGGGAGGGTAATGCGGAAGAGAAATAGATTAACTAGGAGCAAGAATGGGAAAAGTTTGGACCCAAAGTAGGACTGATCCAGACATTTGTCACTGGGCTGTCAGGTCATGTATTGCTGCTCTGACATTTCCCTGCCTATAGTGCTGCATTGCAGCTTGTGTTCCTGACTGATCTGCCCTGTGAATGAGCTTGTCTGTGTCTGACTGAGCATGACTGATATAACTGAGGTTGCTGGGGTAGACAAACTGGGTGGGAACACAGCAGCACCATTGTAGGTAAGATGGACTGAGTTATGCTGTGGCCCCTTGACTCAGAGCCCTGTCTGCCAGCTCTTGGCTTTGCAGTGAGGGGCACAACTGAACAAATGCCTCCCTTGTCCCTGTGCCATGTTCTGCTCTCACTATGGGTCAAGGCAGGCTCTGGCACACATCTCCCCCAGTTCCCTGCTGAATCTTTGTGAGTGGCTGCTGAATGGAGATCACTAAACCTTTGAGAAGGTCACACTTTGGGGGGATCACAGGATGCTGTGAGGTGGCTGAGGTGTGTAGCAGGGAGAAACCTGCATAAGAGCTGCTGCTGCTAGTTAATGCGGGACCAGAGTTGGAGAAGCACTGGTTATGAGGCCGAAGGGTTTGGCCCTGCACCAGAACCCCCAAACTTTGCATGCAATGCCCCCAGTCTTTGAGTGTCGTGTGCTTGCTCATTTCTGACCATGCTCCTTTGTCTAACCCTGCAGAGTATGGCAGTCCCTAATGCTACTTGCATCTCCGACAGTGACTGTATAGCTGGGAAGATGGACATGCTTGGGAATGGTGAGTCAGAAGCACCCTGTAAGCCTCCAATTGCACTGGGGAGACAGAGACAGCAGCAATGCCCCAAACCCCTCACCTTTCTCCCCACCCCCTGGCAGCCATGGGGCTAGAGGGTAGCAGGGCTTCACAGTCCATGACGATGGAAATTTCACCTGTCCATCTATGCAGGAGAGAGGACTGGGCGCTGCATTCCGCATTACAGTGGGACTGTGAAGACCTGTGAGATCTTAGCCTGGTGCCCAGTAGAAAATGGAGGAGCCATCAGGTAAAGAGGTGCCGCTGGAGGCAATGGAGTAGGTAGAGGAGACAATGGTCACCACCCTTGGGAAGCCTGAGCAAGACCCTCAGCACTTTTCACCCTCTTCCAACTACCCTTGCCTTAAGCTATACTGTGGAACTCCACAAGAGGATATGGAGCTGGGTGGAGGCCTTTTTAGACTTGAGAGGTATGAGGTCTATTACTTTTGGAGGACAACCACCCTCCATAGCACTGGGAATGGGTATTGTCTGCATGGGGTAGCTCCTCTACCTGATGGGAAGGGAGGTAGTGCTTCCACCATGGGGGCTCTCTGTTCTGGGATGGGAAAGTCAGTGTTCCTCCCGTTGGTGAATGAGGTGGCATATCAGACTGGCTGGAATGCTGATGTTTTTTCCCCCTCTTGCTAGTGACTCCCTGGGGAAGATGGCTCCACAGTTCACCATCCTGATCAAGAACAGCATTCACTTTCCCCGCTTTGGATTCTCCAAGTAAGGGTCATCTCACTAACAGGGCCTAAAGGGCAGCTGGTGCTGTCCATCTCTGCTCCTTTTCACAATTCACAGCCCTTTCAGTGTTAGCACTTGAACTGAACAGCTCCAGACTGAATGGAACTTTCCAGGGGAATGCAGTCCTGGTAGAAGGAAGGAAGAGAGCAAGGGGCACATGGTGGGGAGGGGATATTCCCTGGATGATGCCCTGTGTGTGGAGGGGAGTGGTAGGCTTTACTAGCAGAATACAGAGAGCTGATGAATGAAGGCAGTTAGCCTGTCTCTGCCAATCTGACCCTACTCACTGGAACTAGGTTTTGCACTGCCAGGGCACTATGGAATAGCACAATGTAGAAATGAGTTAATAATAGCTCTGTAAGTTTGGTTGTGTGGATGGGCATGGATGTGTAGAATGTCATGCCTAGCTATGCATATATTTGTGCATGTGTGCAGGTATCGATATTTGCACAGATGCACATGTCTGTGTCAGTGTATGTGTTTTTGTGAATGCATAGGTATATGCACCCAGGTGTGTGTTTTTGTGTTGTGCCCGTAAGTGTCTGTGTGTAATGCACAATAGCTTTAGGTTTGTGTCTCCTCAGAGGGAACATTAAGGATGATAAGAATGGCTACCTGAAACGATGCACCTTCAATGAGACCTCTGACCTTTACTGCCCCATCTTTAGGCTGGGCTTCATTGTGGAGCAGGCAGGAGAGAACTTCACGGAGCTGGCTGAGAAGGTAAAGCATGCAGTTAAGAGAGTGCTCCACCCACAACAAGATGTAGTCTCTATCCTAGTCACTGTCCTGGTGGAGCTCTCTGGAGGCTGTATTTTCCCCAGTCTTGACTCATTCTCTAATTGATTTCCCCAAAGACAACTCCACTTCAGTCCCTTTGTACATCTTCCTGGGGATGTTAACTGAAGTGCACAGAGTAGATCTCTCTTCTGCAGGGTGGGGATATTAGTATGTGCCTGTCTTGAGTTACCATTCACACCACTGATGCCACATAACATTTGTGCTACAAATGGGATTGCTGGAGGCTGCAAGCTTCAGTAGAGCATTCTACCAGATATGAGAAGAGGGGTGGGCCGGCAGAATGCTCTGCACCTCACCTGCCATCTCCAGAGCCTTCCTATCTTCTCCAAGTGACTCTGTCTTGGCAAGATCCTTTCCCCGAAGCGACCTTATGGTTTTTTCTTCTCTTGCTGATTCTAGACACAGCATACTTGCTTTATGCATCCAAAGCTGTTCTGCCAGCTGTCTTTCTTCCACAAAGACCACCAGAAATCTACTGACCCAGGTGCAGGCTTATGACAGAACCTGTGTCTGCACCAGCAGCCCCTCTCTGAAGATTCTGACCCGTCTTTTGCAAGTGCCTTGAGATCCGTGGCATGGAAGTACTTGTGCAAGAATTTGTCAGCAAAAGGGAACTATCAGAGCAGTGAATGTAGGGTGAAGGGGAGAATGACGCACACACTCAACTTTCATGCAGGTTGCAATCTGGCTTCTCTTCAGGAGCTGTCCAATCTTTATTCTTGTCCCTCTAGTACAGTTTTTAGTCCTCTCTAGTGGGTGTGGAGGACCACGATTCTCTGATCATGCCTCATCTTCTTTTTGTTATAAAGGATGAGATTAAATTATAACTCCTTATAAATGATTAACAATAAACAATAACTCTTAAGACTGTTCACATTGCTACATCAGCTTAACAATATATACATACATACCATAAATGAATATCTAAAGGTCAAGTCTCTGAAGGTCTTCTCAGTCTTTCTGACCTTGTTCTGACTCAGAGGTGGGCTAGATGGTGGATTCAGCCAGTGGTCAGACTCCATTTCCCAGCAACCCCTGCCCTTGTTGCTGTGGCTGGTTTCCAAGAAGACCCCAGTAGCTGTGACAGCAGGGGGCCAGAGTTTCCGTGGAGACCAGTCCTAGCAATGCTGGCAGGGCATGCAGCTAGGTGGGGAGCTGCTCCAGGACTGGGGCTGGTATCTTGCAGTGGTGACAGTGTGGTTTGGAGCTGGGGCAGTGCCGCGATCTGCTGCCTCCACGAACCTGCCTGGGGTGTGCAGGCAGTGGATCACAGCTTTGCCCCGGCTCCAGACCACGCTATCATTGCTGCAAGATCCCAGCCCCGGAGCAGCTCCTGACCCAGCTGCACGCCCTGCCAGTGCTGCTGGGGTTGGTCTCCATGGAAACCCTGGCCCTTTGTTGCCAGGGTGCCACTGCTCTTGGTGTCTCCATGGAAACCAGCCACAGTGATGCAGACGGGCTACCGGGAAATGGAATCCACTATGGGCTGCACTTTGCCCACCCCTGTTCTAACTTCTGTAGGACTCCATTTCTAACTGAGCTTTCCTGCAGACTTCCTCTTGCCAAAGAATCTAGAGCATTTCTTAGTGTCTGTGTACCTTGATATAAATGCAACAGGCCCCTGGTGTCCTTCTGACTGTGTTTAAATGAGTAGTGCACCCAGACCATATGCAGATGCACCTGTTGTGACTACTGTTGGGTAGTTTACTGAATACTGTGCCAAAACAAGTGGTGATGCCAGCAGTCCCTTGATTGTGTATTGAATGCTGTTTTGCCATTTACCTCCAGGCCACATACTGTGTCCATTAAGGAAGTTTCTTAATAGTTTTGTTAGCTGGACTAAGTTCAGTAAAAAATTTCCAAACTGGTTGGTCATATCGAGATATGACAGGAATGTCTTATGGCAGGAATGTCTTTGTAACAGGGAGCCAAAAGCCCCTGTTTCTTAAAGGGGAAGTGTCAGCAGGCTAGCCTTGCTGTGTAGGCAGGTGGCTGAGCCAAAGCTAGCTGCAACGTGATGAGTTGGATGAATGGTGCAGATTTCAAGGTAGCCAAAAGATAAAGGCTGCAAGCAGTGAGAAGGGGCAGGATGTCTATTAAGTAAAAGGAGAAACTCCTGTGATTGGTTAGGGAGTCAGTGGCAGAGCTCCATGGCATATAAACCCAGTACTTGGAGTAAGGCAGGCAATCTGGCCCAGTGTGTTTCAGGGAATGGAGCTTGTGGGATAGAATAGAGTGCTACAGGAGACATCCTGGCAGGCACCAAACCACCTTCAGAGGTGAAAGCTCCAAGGGGAAGAGGACTGGCCAGATGACTTTTCCCCAGAATGGGAGAGGTTTCTGTTGAAAGCAGTTACTTGTATGTTTGTTGCAGTTAATTTTACAACAAGAGGACAAAGTGTAGCTGGAAGGGGCATGCCAGAGTTGGACCCTGGCAGGGGCAGGGGATTGAGATAGGGAGACAGAGACAAGAGGAAGTTAAAGCGGGGCTTAACACCTGAACCGGAGAGTAGGTAGAGGTGGCCTCAGGCTGAGGAAGGCTGGGGGCTGAGCCCTGAGGGGGCAACAAGGGCCAGGTGGTAGGTTATGATAAGGCTGGGACAGAGGAGCCAGGCCAGTGCAAGGGGACCCAGAATGAGGAGTCCATAGGTAGAGTAACCAGTGGGCCAAAGCCAAAAGGGCCAAAGCCTGTACAAGCCAGTGTCAGAAAATTGGGAGTGATATCTGTGTGGCTGTAGGGGGGGATGGAGGCCATTTATGAACACTGCTCATAAGGTGCCTGGTGTTCTAGCACACTAATAGGGTCAGAAGGGCTGCCCAAGTGGCAAATTTGCAGCGGACTGCATCAAGTCTGGCTCTTGGGGCAGCCTCCCAAACCCTTTGAGCAACATCAAGGTATGGCAGGAAAAATAACAGCGAAGGGCACCCCGAGGGGTCAGAGCGAGCAGGAGCCACATGTCAACCAGGGGGTGCCACAGCCCCCCTGGAGCACAGGTCCTGTCACAGTCACATAATGCCCTTTTTGTCAGGACCTGGCTGGATTTCATTTTTGTTAACAATATGTCCAATAGCTTCTATGTATTCCTTCCCAAATTCACTTTTCTCCTTCAAAGTGGGACCAGATTGTTGGAAATGTCTCAAAATAACATATAGACATTTATCAGAATCTTTTTGATTTTTGCCATGTACCAACACATCACCTGTGTAGCAAAGGATGAAAAGCAAATCCATCACAATCTGAGATAATGTTTTTTTTCAAAACGTTCTGATGCTGCTGATATGCTTAAAGCAGGGGTGGGCAATTATTTCGGGTAGAGGGCCGCTTACTGAGTTTTGGCAAGCTCTCGAGGGCCTCATGACAGGCAGCCAGGGGCAGATAAATATTCATTTTCTAAGTTGTTTAGGGCCCCGCAGGCCAGATAGAATGGCCTGGTGGGCTGCTTCCCCCCCGTGGGCCGCATTTTGCCCACCCCTGGCTTAAAGGAAGCTAGTTGAAACAATATCTTCTGAATGGGGTAATGTATATAGTTTAATGGCCGAGATTCTTTAAAAAGAGTGATTTGTCAAAAACCTGCTGTAGCAATTTTGAGAGTCCATTTCTAACAACTGGGCCAATGTCTGTCTTACTCTGCACACATTTTTGTTAAGTTGAGTAAGGTCCACAGAAATGCAGATTTTTCTACTGTACTATAACGATCCCTGTACACCATTCTGCAGGTTCATCTATTTGGGAAATAACTCCTAATTTGCTATTCTCTTTAATTTTTCCTTGGCTTTCTTTTGCAAAAGAATGGGGATTCATTGAAGAGATAGAGCAAATTTTGATACAAACTGGCGATTTGTAGATATTCTCTTATGGGAGGAATGTCACATAATGCTTTTGTGTTGGTGTTTAACTATATGTTCCCCTGCCCATTTCCCCAAACCTGTGAAGACCTGAAGATACATCTCTTGTATAGTTGATCTTTTGCTGCTAATAGAGTCCAGTTTCTCTACCAAGCATAGTCCTTGTATTGTTGGCAATCCAAGTAGGGGAACTGTTAACACTTGTATTGCATAGATGGGTTTGTGGCAGAATTTTTCCATTTCTGGTTCTGAATCAAGTTCATGTCATAATAGTTTCATAGTAGGTAGAGTTGGAAAGGACCTAAGCAGATCATCAAGTCTGACCCCCTGCCATGGGCAGGAAAGAATGCTGGGGTCAAACGACCCCGGCAAGGTGGCTGTCTAGCCTCCTCTTAAAGACCCCCAGGGTAGGAGCAAGCACCACTTCTCTTGGAAGTTGGTGCCAGATCCTAGCCACCCTGACTGTGAAGTAGTGCTTCCTGATATATAGCCTGAATCTACTCTCAGTCAACTTATGGCCCTTATTTCTTGTTACTCCCAGTAGTGCTTGGGGGAACAGGGACTCTCCCATTGCCTGCTGGTCTCCCTTGGCCAGTTTATAGACGACCACCAGATCTCCTCTCAGCCTTCTCTTGTGGAGGCTGAACAGGTTCAGGTCCCATAGCCTCTCCTCGTAGGGCCTGCCCTGCTGCCCCCTGACCATGCGAGTGGCCCTCCTCTGGACCCTCTCGATGCTGTCCACATCCCTCCTGAAGTGCAGCGCCCAGAACTGGATGCAGTACTCCAGCTGTGGCCTGACCAATGTCATATAGAGGGGGAGGATCACCTCCTTGGACCTGCTCATGATGCATCTGTGGATGCATGACAAGGTGCGGTTAGCCTTCCTGACTGCATCCCCACATTGGCGGCCCATGTTCATCTTGGAGTCTATAATGACTCCAAGATCCTTTTCTGCCTCTTTGCTGACTAGAAGGGAGTTCCCCAGCGTGTAGGTCTGCTGCTGGTTCTTCCTCCCCAGGTGCAGTACCTTGCACTTGTCAGTATTGAATCCCATCCTGTTCTCATCCTCCCACCCCTGTAACCTGTCCAGATCCAATTGCAGCCTGTCCTTCCCTTCTAGCGTGCCCACTTCTCCCCACATCTTAGTGTCATCTGCGAATTTGAACAAGGTGCTTTTCACCCCCTCGTCCAAGTCACTGATGAAGATGTTGAACAACATGGGCCCGAGGACTGAGCCCTGGGGGACCCCACTGCCCACATCTCTCCAGGTGGAAAATGACCTGTCCACCACCACTCTCTGGGTACGGCCCTCCAGCCAAATGGCGACCCATCTGACTGTGTAGGTATCGACACCACAATCTCCTAATTTTTGAATGAGAATGGGGTGAAAGACAGTGTCAAAGGCCTTCCTAAAGTCCAGAAAGACTACATCCACAGCAACACCTGCATCCAAGGATTTTGTGACTTGGTCGTAGAAGGCCACACCAGGTTGGTCTGACAGGACCTGCCTCTAATGAACCCATGTTGGTTGCCCCTAAGCATACACTCCCCTGCTTGCCCTCGCAGATGTGCACCTGGATAATTTTCTCAAAGAGCTTCCCCAGGACTGAGGTAAGACCAACAGGCCTATAATTTCCTGTGTCCTCCTTCCTTCCTTTTTTGAAAATGGGGACCACATTGGCCCTTTTCCCTGCCGAGAATGTCACTCCTGCCAAGTCCTGTGTATTGAGATTAGACTCCAGGGTCCTGTGATATCCCCACGTGCCAAGATTTGTCCTTGCACTAGCCTGCACCTGATCTAGCATGCAGGGCTACAGCCTACAAGGCCTCCCCATGCATCTGTTCAAGGAGCTCTCGGTAAATAAAATTTCATTTACCTACATAATGGATATCAAAAGCCTCTTTCACTTATAGTCTTTCTTTTCCTCCTCACTGGGTGCATCTACGAGACACTTTACTGTGCAGTGGAGTTAATTACTGTGTAGTAAGTATTAGGGCTATGCAAAGCTTTGGTTGCTGATTCGATTCAGCGGAGATTTGGCCTGATTCATAGATGTTAGGGTTGGAAGGGACCTCAAGAGATCATCGAGTCCGACCCCCTGCATAGGCAGGGAAGAGTGCTGGGTCTAGATGACCCCAGCTAGATGCATATCCAACCTCCTCTTGAAGACCCCCAGGGTAGGGGAGAGCACCACCTCCCTTGGGAGCCCATTCCAGACCCTGGCCACTCGAAATGTGAAGAAGTTCTTCCTAATGTCCAATCTAAATCTGCTCTCTGCTAGCTTGTGGCCATTATTTCTTGTAACCCCCGGGGGCGCCTTGGTGAATAAAACCTCACCAATTCCCTTCTGTGCCCCCGTGATGAACTTATAGGCAGCCACAAGGTCGCCTCTCAACCTTCTCTTGTGGAATCTCCGAATCGAATCAGGAAACCCTTTCATCTCTCCGAATCGAATCGGAATCCTCTGAACTGATTCGAAGAGATTCAATGATTCGGACATAGACATAGCTTTCAATGTCTTTTCTACATACCTTAAGGTACCAGGCTGCTCGTGCATCCTATGATGGAGAGGTGGGGGGGGACCCTCAGCGTGCTTGGTGGAGGACCCAGAAGTGGACCAGAAGCACTTTTGGTCCACTTCTGGGTCCTCTGTCAAGCACGCATGGGACCGCCCCCCAGCTTGGCGACTTTTGCCTCCTGGGTCTGGTGGGGGGTACCTGAAGTCTCCCTGCGGCTGATTGCTGAACTGGAGAGGTGCGTGGGGGGTCACCCCCGTGTGCTCAGCGGTGGACCTAGAAGTGGATGGGAAGTACTTCCGGTCAACTTCCAGGTCCACTGCTACGGATGTGGGGGGGCCCCCCCCACGCTCCTGTGGGACGTTCCATCTGCTTCACTATCTCAGCATTCATGAGCTGTGTTGGTACCTCAAGGTGTGCAGAAAAAACATCTAAAGCTTTGTCTGTGGCCGAATCACTGATTCTCCGAATCAGCATTGAATCTTCAGATTTGGATTCGACAGAATTGAATTTGGGCAGTGATCCAAATCAACAAATCAAATCACTGTCCTTCGAATTGGGCCGAATCTGAATCGAATATGGCCTGCTTCGCACACCCCTAGTAAGCATCGCTGTCTACACGTGCTGACCCTTACTGAGCACTAATTTCCTCTACTTGGCAGTTAATTTGCTAGCCGCAAATGCAAGTAGCAAATTAACTGCCAAGTAATTACTGTGCAGTACAGCACATGTAGACAGCTAACGGGGAACAAATTTGCTCCTGGTCAGCTGGACAGTGGGAGGCAGAAGACTGCTCCCTGCCCCCAGGAGCTGCCCGCTGCTAGGGTGGACTCTGCCACCAGAGCCCTGGCAGGGAGCTCCTAGCCCCAGCTCAGTGATCATGGAGCAGGGGCTGGGAGATTGTTCCCAGGGGGCTGCATGGGGAAGTCTGCATGTACGGTCTGGAGGTGGCTGGAGACTGTTCTGTTTCGGGCAGTCTCCAGCCAGCTCTGGCCTGCACATGCAGCTTTCCCACACAGCCTAGGGCTGGCTGGGAACTGTGCTAGCTGCCTGTCTTCCCAGTCAAACTTCTCTAACAGAGCCATCTGTGTTATGGCTTCCAAGGTTGCATTAGGGTTTTAACCTGTTTCCTACCCACTGCAGTGCATCTGCCTTCTTGAAGTTTGGAGACTCCTCTCTCTCTCTATCTTAGAAAGAGAGATTGGCCTTCCTGATACCACTTAGTGCAAGAGAGAGAGAGGCACATGCAGTCATAGCATGGGTAGTAATCTGGTTTTGCTGCAGGAGCTGTTCGACCTTTATTACTATCCCTCTAGCACATCCTTCTGGTCCTCTCCAGCGGGTGTGGAGGATCAGGACTCTGATCTCTCCACAGTAACATTCCTTGCCATAGCAGGGTTGTAGTGGGAGTGCTTCCCCCCCCGGCCCTGCTCCACATGACAGGGTACGGTAGTGCTCAGGACAAAGCATAGAGATGGATTATTGCCTCCCACTGTCCCACTGCTTGTGAGTTTGGGGGATAGCAGCAGCCCACAGTTAGGGCTGTGAGCAAGCAAATTCATATTTGGATCCTGGCCTGACTCTTTCAAAGCTGTTGCCTCCTCTTTCCTTAGGTAGAGGAGCTCAGCTGCCCTCCATTGGCCCAAAGCCAGGTGCCTTCCCCACCCATCTCAGCGTCAGCAGGGACGTTCCATGCTACCAAGCCTGCTTCCTGGCTCTTTTAGGAAACTTCTCATCTAATGAAAAGCTGGATTTGATGTTTGTGGGACATCAATGGACACTATGGCAACCAGGAGGCCTACTGTTTACAAGTGCTCTTCCTGTACTAGTAGCTAGCTAGCTCTTAATCACTCTCCTTGCCTAGTCAGTGTGTGCTCTTTTCTCCTGTGGGAGATAGCGTAGTATCAAATGCTGTCCTGAAAGCAAGATTCACTTCTTACCTCCATCTGCTAGCAACTTCCATGGTGGGAGGCAACTTGATTCTATGTTTTTTCCCCAGAAAGTTGGTAGCCCCTGGATACTGTTGCAGGCTAGCAATTGGACTGCAATCTGGCATAGTTGCTCTTTTCTCCCCTTATGAGGACTTGGACCATGGCATGTACATACAGTGGTATCAGATGGGGGTTCTGCCAATCATCTAAATCCCTTGTGTCTGGACACTAACTGGTAGGCCACTCACTACTGCTGTTTTCCCTGGACCTCTTTCCTTCCTTAAGACACTGACTGTTTCCCACCCTCACAGATGTTCCTGCTTTTGGATTTCTCTTGGACAAGGGGTGGTGACCAATCCCCAGCTCCAGAGCATGCCCGGGGCGGTATACAGATCAGGGGTGGCTTACAGCGAAGCTAGCAGAGCTAGCACACGTGGTGGTGAAGCTGCCCATGTGTGCCTAGTGTCATGGGGGCACTGTGCTAAGTCTCCCTGCTTCCACTCTCTTCTTCAGGGTGGTGTCATCGGGGTGATCATAAATTGGAACTGCAACCTGGACCTGCCTGACTCGGCATGTAACCCCAGATACTCTTTTCAGAGACTTGATCCTAAAACGATTCAGGAATCTTCTGGCTACAACTACAGGTGATATGAGCATACCTCCTGAGCAAAAGGGAAAGGAAAGGGTTTTTTTTTTTACCTCTTTTAGAGACTTGAGTCCCTGGAGGTTCCCACAGCTTGGTCTGCACCAGTGGGGGTGGAAGAGGCTTGGAGGATGGGGTACATCCAGCCCTGCATGCAGGTTGCTGTTTCCAGAACCTCCATTTTTGAAATACTGGATCTGCCCCAGTCTCCATCCAAGCCATTTCATACAAATCCATTATTAGAAAAACTACAGTCAATCCTGACAATCATAAGCCATAACACCCTAACTTGCTACAGGTAAAGCAGGGGGATCATAGTGGCCAGTATCCTACCACTGCAAAGGTTGTCAAAATATTCTTGAGAGAGCCAAAGAAGAGGGCCAGTCTTTGTGACAGAAGGCAACCCCCACCCCCTGAGTCTGTACGAATATGACCACAGAGTAAAATTCCTTGCAGGCAGGGAAATTCTCATTTCCCCTCTTTCCTTTTCAGGTTTGCCAAGTATTTCAACTGTAATGGGACAAACACACGGATCCTGATCAAGGCATATGGGATCCGCATTGATGTCATTGTACATGGCCAGGTAGGCCTTGGAGGGTGCTTGGCCTCTGTCTCCTTAGTGTCCAGAGTGGCTGATGGGAACTTGGTGTACTGTAACCCACTCCCTCTGCTAGGCGTTACAAAAGTAATGCCACTGGCTCAGCCAATAAAAAGCAACAACACCTAGGAGCCTGGAGAACTCTGCAGCAGAGCTTGTGCAAGCACAGCTTAGTGATCTAGGTGCTGCTTACAAAACATCTTGGACTCTCCATGCTGAAGGGTGTCAGCTGAAGGGACTTAGCCCAGCCACTTGCTGGTGAAAGGTTTTGCTTAAAGTTTGCTGCAGCTCTACCTGTTCCACCACATGTTGATCTGTAGCTGGAGGATGGTAGAGTTTGTTCAGGAGTGCTCTGCACCATTTGTCCTTTATACTGCCCCAGGGCAGTATGTGCTGCTACCTGCCTGCAACGTACTAAGGGGATATGGAACATTATGGAGTCACAGGAGTGGCTCCACACCTGGGGCAAAGGAAAGAAGTCTAAAAGATTTACTCCAAACCTGACTAACCTACTCCTTACTTTTGAGGGAAAGCCCCCAAATCTTCACTTTGAAGCCTAATATTCTGCTGCCTTAGGCTTAAGCAGTGGGTTATGGGATGGCTGTGGGTGAAGTTGTGTCTGATGTTCAGGCCTGGCTGCTCACATGAGCCATGGTCTTGGTAGGTGTCTTACACAATGATATGCGAGTGCCTCAGCTGTTGTTCACTTCTGACTCCAAAGCTGCTGGCCTGCAGACTTCAGGCCTGCCCCACTGTTTCCCTGCATATGGGCCTGGGCTTAGTGTCTCAATACTGGATATTGAAGGACTATCATATCATTATCCACAAACCACACCAATGTGGTAAAATATTCCTGGGTGTCTGCTGAGCCCATAAACCCCATGAGCAGTCTAAGGCTCCAGGACCTCCATAAGCTCAGTCCCTGCAGTGTCTTTTTCAAGCCATCAGGAAAATGGAAGAAGAGAACCCATCCCAATTCTTCCCCTAAGCTCCTGTAATTGCAGGGACCCTGCCCTGCCCTGTCCTCACCTCTGTAGTAGACTTGGTGCTGCAGGGACCCTGTCCAGAACCCTTCCTTCACACTGGGCCTGACATTTCAGGGCTCATGAGATACTTGGCAAGGTTGAATCTCTGGGAGTCACTGGTTCTTGTAAATGAGGGGTGCGGGAACTGAGGAGTGAATTCTGACTTGGGCTCTCTTGCTGCCTAGGCAGGGAAGTTCAGCCTGATCCCTACAATCATTAATCTGGCCACGGCACTGACCTCTGTGGGAGTGGTAAGTATCTATCCACTGTGCAATCTCTGGCCCAGTTGGCTGGTGCTCACTCCCTTGAGCACTAACACCCCATCATCTTGTTCCCTAGGGCTCTTTCCTTTGCGACTGGATCTTATTGACCTTCATGAACAAGAACAAGGTGTACAGCACTAGGAAATTTGACCAGGTATCTGCCTATTTATCACCCCTTTGTTATAGACCATGCCCTGCTCCATCCTGACCCTGCAAGGTTACTGCTGTTAATCCCAGCATACAGAGGGGATGGGACCTGTCCACATCACCCAGTAAGGTAGTAGAACTGGAAATAGAACCCAGGAATTCCAGCGCCTTGCTGTCCTCCTGACCCCATTGCCAGATCTCTGGGCTCCCTGTTTGGGAAAATGCAGAGTGCGGGAGGAAATGAACCTCCCAGGGACCCACCTGTACTGTCATTCTTGAAGTAAAGGTTGTATTAGGGTTATTTCCTCAGCAGTTCTGAGGACATCCTCCAAGTGAAGCACATCAGTAGATCCGAGTGAGCCACCCCAAGGGCCTTTCCCTCCTCCAGCTCCATGTGCCTGTGCCTTGGCAAGAGTCTATTGAAAATCCCCAGACACTGACTGCTCCATCTCTTCTCTCTCTGGCCAGATTTCTCAGTGTTGGGATGGAAACTCAGTGCCAGAATCCAGTATCAAGAATTGTTCCACACAGGACTTTTCACTTGGTGACCCCAATGGCCCCATTCAGTTCTGAGGGCCTACCTCTCTTCCCATCCTGCTGCTCCAACTGGACTAGGCATTACATATGTGGCCAGTAGGCAAGTTGTGTCTACCCTGTAAGAGTTAGTGCTTGGCTGCCCACAAAGCTAAATGCGGGGGAGGAGGGTGGGGGGTACGGATGAAGCAGGAGACCTTCCCCACACCAGATTTCATTCTGTAGGTGTCAGAGCTTCCAAAGAGCTTCAGCCTCTGCAGTAACCTGGAAGTCTCTCAAAGGGCTGGTGGCTGAGTGAGCCCAGGTGCATGGGACTAGGATATCTGTATCTTCCACTGAAGAATTCCCTAACTCTTCACATTCATCCTAAAATCTCTGCACACACCCTGAGGTACTGTCAGCTACAGCTAGCACATGCTAAGGAAAAGAATATTTAAGGGAATGTGCAGAGTCATCCGTTCTCTGCCTCTCCAGCATCCCACCCCCCTCTAATCTGTTAACACCTGCCACTTAGCCTATTGGATACATTCATAGCATACCAGCTGCAGGTAGCAGGAGCCCAGTAATGTTTGCAGAAGATATTGTTTCCTTCTCCCCCCCCCCCCCCCCCCCGCGCTGAGGAGGAAGGGAAACAGCAGCCGTCACATGGTGGTCACTGTCTTCTCTTGGGGGATTGTTAATTCCCTTCCACAGGGAATCCCCTCTGCTCTTCTCCTCTGGGCTCCTCTTTCCCCTATGGCCTCAACCCACTTTAACCCTGTTCTTTCAGTCTGCTCACACTGTGTAAAAAAAACCAAACAAAAAAACACCTTCTTTCTTCTCCCTCAGTTGCAGCACTCTCCAGGACCCTGCCAGGCTTATTTGTGATCTCCAACAAAGACACACACTTAAGACAGTTGTCAGAGAATGATCAGCATGCATCGTTCTCTCCAGGACTGAAACAGTAACAGTGTTGATAGACTTAAGTTGGCTCTAGCATTAATACCCCATGGAGATAATGAGAACACTCTACTTCTTAGGTGGTTGTTTCAGGCTCTCTACAGACCACTGTCGATCACACTTGGGTGCTTTGAAGAGGTGTGTCACAATGGGAAAGAGACAGAGATTTTTTCTAGTGCTTGGGACCTGGGGGTCAGCTACCTGAGACAGCTATATTTCCAGAATCACTGAACACCCTTGCTGTGCTAAATTAGTCCCATGGGACAATTTTGCATGGGAAGGAGGGAGGGGCCTTCAGCAACATTGACAGGACACGCTGAAGGAGCCCTTTGTCTTTGCACCATGCCTTGACAGCTGTATCTGACTGGGAAGCGTAGCAAGTCTTGGCATGCAATAGCAAAGTGGTCAAGCTAGAGATATGAGAGGACCATGCATTAGAACATTTGGTGATGTTTGCAGGGAAGCACATGCCAATTGCTTCAAGGGCTTTATGACAAAGGTGGCAGAACTTCTTAACAATTGGACAGGGACTCCTAGTAATTTGATTATAGTTGCTTTTAAAAGTACACATTGCCATGTCTCCTAATTGGCTTGGTAATGGGTGCATGGCAGCCATGCAGACAGTTACTGTCACCAGCTCTTGTCTTCAGCCTGGCACCATCTCCTAACCTGAAAAGTGGAGAGAACTTTTTCACAAATATTGTAATGGCCCCTGTCTCAACCCTGCTTGGGAGTCTTAACAAGAGACTCCTTGTCCAGGGGTCAGCTCCTCCATCTCTGGTACTTTTTCCCATCTCCAGTCAGTCACTCTTTCACCATCCTCCACCTTCACTCACATGGTGTTCTAGCCAGCACTGCTGGTGCAACGAAGAGCTTCACAGACCATGTTCACTAAGTCAATTAGAAAGAGGCATTTGGAAGTAACTGAGTAAGTGCAAAGAGTGTGTTTCTGAGCATAATTGGATTTTCTGGCTCTCCTGTTTCTGCAGAAAATCCTAGAGCATTCAGTTTCTCACCAGTTTCTTTCTAGCCCCAACACCGTGTTTGAAGTGTGCACCAACCACAGCTGCTTAAATCCAACAGGCTGTCTGGGCACCTGCGACTTGGAACCAGGCTGTGTGTTTCAAGAGGGCTGGCCCCCTCCAAAGACAGTCATTGCCAAGGGGTGGGGGAGGCTCACAGTTGAGTTGAGAAGGGGTCCTACACCAGTTACAGATGTGAGATGGGAAACAGAAAGGAAGGATAAGGAGAGGGCGTTTCACCTGTTCAGAGGTTCGGGGCACTAGAGAGAGCAAGCAGATAAGGGCTTTGTACCAAAGAGCTACTTGTGGCTGCTCAGAACAAACACCCCAGAGAGGGGCAGGAGCAGCAGCAGCCAAGTAACCGCAGAGCTTAGCAGGGGAGTATTTTAGCAAAGTGGGTCATTTTAGCTAAAAGCAAGCCAAGAAACCACTAGCTTTGCCATGCTCTTAACTGTATCCCCCACTACATATACTTTCTGGCAATGGTAATAAATGCTAAGAGCCTGTTAGTGTCTGTGGAGGAGGTAAAGGAACCTCAGCACCTACATTCCCTTGGCATCAGGGAGGACTTGTGGACAAGGCCCCAGTAGTTAGGGCTTTAGGACCCCCTTAAACTGCCTCAGAAGCTGGTAGGTGCTAGCGCCAGCTGAGAGGAAGTAGGATAGGGCAGCATGCTCCCTGTATGTAGTTCAGTTTTGCCCCAAGTTCCCTCATGCCAAGTACTTGGGATTTAAGGGAAACATCACAAGGCTTGGAATAGAAATATGAAAGCTGGCAACACTGGGTGCAGCCCGCTGCAACCCAGCTTTCTTCCATCCAAGCCACAAAGGTCTCATGCCCCCACAAGTAAGAGTAGGGCAGCCGTCTTTATTGCTGCTTATGTTAGTATCTGAACAACTCCCAGGAACCCAGTAACAAAGCCATGTGCAGCCCCTTGCTTTCTTAGAACTTCAATCTGCATAACCTTTCTGCCTGCGCAGAAGGGTATGACCACACCAGCCGCAGCTATGGGCAAGTGAAATGGAAGTATTAGTACTGCTAAGCAGGCATTCCTAGCCTGGCTCCCCCTCCCAGAACGTGCTGGTCTCCTGCAGCACAAATGGAACATGATCTGAGCTGTCAGTCCTTCAGACTGCATTATCTGACATGACAGAGACAGTGGGGAGTTAATGAGCTAACAGGGATGATTTAATCCTTGAGGAGCTTGTAAATTGTACCCTTCACCCCAGCCAGTGAAGGGCTTCCCTCCCCTCCTTCCCCCATTTCCCAGAACAGAGCTGCCAATTCCTCCCAGTAGGGCTGGGCAGATGATGTACTAATTCAATTCTGTTGCTCTGTGATCCTATTAGAGTCAAATTTCCCTGCACCTTTAGAACAGCTCAAATTCTCTAATTCCTTCCTGGGGAGATGAGGAGCTGCACTGGGCATTTTGCCCAGTGCAGACCCAACATCCTGCCCCTTCCCACACCACACCACTAATTCCCTTTTATTCATAGGGTCCCATCCTGCAGCCACTGACAGTGAGGGGATCATGCACAAGTTGCCAGGCAAAGGCCCCACCATTGACTTTCACTTGTTTCTTGTTCACTGCAGACCCTCCAGGCAGGTCCAGCCTGCTCTCCACTGCCACTTGGGCAGGGCCTTGCGTTAGCAGGCAGCAGGGAGGCATAACAGGAACCATGACAGAAGATAAGGCAATACTGACTTAGTGATATAGACTAAAAGCTAAGATGACTGTTTGGGGTGGATTTTAAGTGGAAAATCAAAAGAAAAGCTTTCATTAACCAAAAGCCAGGCAAAAGATGACTGCAAGTACTTTGGGATTACCTAAATTCTTCAGCTGTTTGGTGTAAGAGTTTGCTGGGCTTAGAATACTGTATTATCCTGAACCTGCTGGAACCTCAGTTCTCTTTAAAAACTGACCAATAAGATACAAGCAAAATATTCCAAGTTGCTGTCAATTTCCTTATTGGCTGGCAAATACTTCTTCCCTAACTCTAATGATTTGTGTGTTGCCTACCTGAGACAGAAGTGTGGCTTGCTTCAGTGCCCTGTTGCTGCTCCATCCATGAATTATGAAATGCATGCTGCAAAGTAAGAGGACCTTATTCACCTCCCAATGATGTAAAAGGAAATTGGCAACAGACACCATTGGAAGTTCAACTATGTTGTAAAGCAAGGGGTGACAGTGTACAGCCCAAGAGCCAAATCCAGCCTGGAAACCATTTGTATCCAGTTCACAAAACTGGGAGACTGTTGGCAAGTCAGCAGCAGGAGGAGAGTGGCAAGGGCAGCAATGTGCCAGGGAGGAAGACCTAATCCATTAAATTGAGACTACTGCTCCTGTAAGGTCACCAACCCCTGCTATAAAGACCAGATCATAAAACAGTGGAAATATAATAGTGATGATAGAACTGCTAGAATAAACTATCAAGGGAAGTGATGGATTTTCCATCTCTATAGGTATTCAGATCAAAGTGGATGCCTTTCTGGAAGATAAACTGTGTTTGGCTAAAGCATCTTGTTCTCAACTGAGGGGTAAAGGGCAAAAAGTGTATGGCCCGTGTTGCACAAGAGGTCAGACTAGCTGATCTCTAGTTTCTACTCTTAAACTTTATGAATCTATAAAAGTGGGTCAGTAGTTCTCCCTGCCGCAGACAGCCAGACAATGCAGGAATAAAGCAAGAAGTTAGGATTTCTTAGGGTGACACCAACAGACCTGATGAAGAATGTCTTGCATTCAAAAGCTTGTCTAACTCTATTGTCCAATAAAAGATAGCACCCTTAGAAATCCTTGCCTCTCGTATAATTCCTAGACCATCACAGCTACATTACTCTAATACTACCAAAGCAGGAATAAGGCAGGGTAGAATTGCACTTGATAGACTACACCAGGGGGATGCAACCCCCATCCCACAGGCTAGATACAGCCTCTGGAGCTATACTATCTGGCACACAGGGTTCCTCAGCCTGGAAATTTGCTGGAGGGGGAGTGGTGACAGCTAATTGCCACTTCCCTGCTGCCGGATTTCCAGACCCATGGGGAGCCCTGTGGGATGGAGAGCATAGCGCCAGATTACATGCAAAGGCTGATCAGGCCATGGTGCAGATCTGGCCAATAAGGGTGGCACAGGGCCGACTGGGGTACTACAGGGTGGCATGAGGGGGACCAGGGCAGCATGGAGCTGATTGGAGCTGTGCACAGCCTGATCCAGCCTGCAGACCAGCCCCACATCACTCATCCAGCCTGTGGGCCAAAATGTTGAGCGCCATTGGACTACACCATTAGCAATTACCATATTTTCTTGCACACACCCCTTTCCCCAAATATAATGCACACCCTATTTCTGGCAGGCTCCAAAGAAAAAAGGCGGGGGTGGGAAATCTTGCCTGTGAGTAAAGGTAAGCACCAGAGGGCAGGGGTCTCTGGGGCTCAGGGCTGTGTTAGGGATGGAGTTGTGCACTGGGACTAGGGCTACGTAGCTGGGTGGAGTCTGGGGCCTGATTCAGCACACCACCTCCACTGGACCAATGCTCTGGTGCCCAAGCTGGCATGTGATGTTGGGGCCATCCCACATGCTGGCTCTGGGGCTGCATGCCAGGGATAACCTTGTATACTGGTTCTGGAGATGTGTGCCAGATCCAGGGCGGTGTGCTGGGTCAGAACTTGGTGCTCCAGCCACAGACCAGCCTCATACACCATCCGTTTGGCATGTGCTTGGGCAGGGGGACTCATAAGTCTGGAAATTAGGTGGAGGGAAGAAGCAAGTGGTGACATTAATTGCACTGGCTCTAGGAGCTGTGGCAGTTAATGCAACCACCACTCTACCTTACCTCCCTCCATACCCTGCAAATTTTACAGATTCATGGGGAGCCCTTTTCCTCACATGTAATGTGCACCCGTTTTCCCCAACTGGTTTTGGGGGAAAGGGTGAAGATCCTATGTGAGAAAATATGTTATAGTGCCTCTTCATAAATCCCACCCCCTCCTCAGGTCCTCCTCGAGGAAGAAGGGATTTAACACACATCTGAAGGGCCCCGAGCTCCAGACCAAACATCTAATAACCCCTGTCTGCCCTGAGAGACACCTCTTGTGTCACAGCTACTTCATGTAGGAGGCAAGTGTTTCCCTCACTTGCTGGCACTTGATATCCATGCGGAGGAGAAGCAGCTATTTGGCATCAGTACCAGTCTTAGCAAACTGTGAAACTCCAGCGTAGAGCTGAAACAAATCTTAATTGCTCTTTTATTAATTCGCTTACCAAAAACTCCATTCAGTGGAGAAGTCTGCTTGCCCAGCAGAGGGCAACAAAAATGGTTAGGGGGCTGGGACACACGACTTCTGAGGAGAGGCTGAGGGAACTGGGCTGATTTTAGTCTGCAGAAAAGACGGAGTGGGGGTAGGATTTGATAGCAGCCTTCAACTACCTGAAGGGTGGTTCCAAAGAAGATTGAGCACCACTGGTCTAGCTCCACTTTTTTTGTACCAGGACCCATTTGTAAACATTGATGGCCAGTCCTGACCCACTGCCCCTCACTCCTGACCCTAGGCCCCAGCCCTCCAGTGTGGGGGCAAGGGGTGGGTGTGGGGTAGGGGAGCCCCAAGCAGCCCTTTACAGGCTGGAACTGCCAACCTGCAAGGGAAAAAGCCATGGTTTCCCATGTTTTTCTTCTTTAAGGGAGAACCCATTTATAAAGTTTGCTGATCCATTTTTAAAGTTTGTGACCTTTTCATATACTCTCAAGACCCACTTTTGGGTTGCAACCCAGTGGTTGAGAAACACTGAGTTAGACTGTTCTCAGTGGTGGCAGATGATAGAACAAGGAGCAATGGTCTGAAGTTGCAGCAAGGGAAGTTTAGGTAGGATATTAAGAAAAAAGCTCTCACTAGGAGGGTGGTGAAACACTGAAATGGGTTACCTAGATGAGGTGGTAGAATCTCCAACCATGGAGGTTTTTAAGACCCAGGTCAACAGAGCCCTGGCTGGAATGACCTAGTTGGGGATGGTTGAGCATAGGGTTGGACTAGATGACCTCCTGAGGTCCCTTCCAACCCTAATTTTCTATGATTCTATGTCTTCTGAGCACCTCATGCTTGCAGATGGAAGGGATTGTTAATAGAAGAGCTGGGTCCTTCCTCTGCTGAAGAGCCTGGCAATACTGCTGTTGCGCAGCCAAGGTAACAAATCCAGCAAAGGGAGGAGATGGGAAGAATGAACTGCATGGGGGCTAGTGCTCTGAAAGAACAAGGCATTGCACTATCAGGAGCACACAAGTGAGGAGGAAGAAAAGCTACCAAGGCAGTTTCATACAGAGCATTAAAGAAACCATAAAATGCCTTCCAAATTCAGCACATGGTGTCATTACAGGTTTAACCCTTTGTAACCAAGGAGCATTTATACATACCTTTGTCTGCCCATACACGCTGGAAATCCAGCGCATCAGAGCAGACTCAATTAATCTGGTCCATGGAGCATGCGAGCAGATGTGCCTGGCACTGCGTCACATGTATTTATATAAATGGCGAAATGCACATCGGCACGCAGGAAGTGGCAGTGGTGCATTTTTTTTTTAACCGAAACACCTTCGATGTCTAAGCCTCTCTTGCACAGCTGCAGTACACTTTCTAAGTGTTAATGCACATTTCGCCATTTATATAAATGTGCACGCTGCAGCACTGAGCACTTTTAAGAGTGCCCAGTGCTGCGACACATGCATGTATACAAATGCCCAAGATGCACAGCCAAGGGAACACCAACACCCCTCCCCGCACCCTTCACTTAGTCACTAGTCCCTGAGAATTTCAGATAACATCAGCTTCTCAACGCTACTGTGTTAACGCTGCCCATTATGGAATTGAGGCATGATCCTTCCACCTCATGCACTAGCTGGGGCCTTAGGCACATTAATCCCTGGAACAGCCTACAGGCAGTGGCATAACTAGGGCAGGATGACTGGGGCAGCTACCGCAGGCACTGACATGGTGGAGGGTAAGTGCTGCTACTGCAGCTGGAAGTCACCACTACTCCTATGCATGGCAGCTGCCCCAGGTGCTAGCTGCATCGTTATGTTTCTGCCTACAATCAAACTGCAGAAGCACCTCCCCTGAAACTGCAGCAACCACACTGTACATCACAGCCAGGTTGGACTCTCTGCTTGTCACCGCTACTGATTTGAATTTGTGTCAACCATGGCAGGGGCTGATCTTCAATAGAGTGGCTGTTCCCTTCCTTCTCCAAAAACATCTGGATTGCCACCCAATCTACCCCACTGCAGGCTTGCTCTGTCCCCCTCTGGACAATTTTAGCACTCATTGCCCTTCCCCATTCTGCCTGCGCCTCCGCTATAAGTTTTTCCTGCTATACTACAGCACCAGCCCAAGGGTGAGGGGTTAGATTGGAGCTGGAGGAACAAAATTATTCTTTGAGCCATAGCAAGTGGTCATCCTCCCCCCCACAAAGAACAGGGACATTCTGTAGAATGTTTATTTACAGATTTATAAAACCCCACAATAAAAAATAATCAAAATCAATCAAACGCAGCAGGGGAAGTTCTCAGAACGCAGTAACCTAGGCCTGCATTGTGCACTGCCAGACAGTATCCTGCCTCTGTGCTTCCACAGAACAACTCCGGGCTCAGGCCAAAGGGCAAGATGAGATCAACAGACTTGCTTTACTGGCGCTCTTCCTCAGCAGCAGACTGGAACTAGCAGCAATGTTTGAAAATACAGTGACTCAGGCTGCTTGGCCTAGTCTCTCTCCTCTGTGCCCTGGGATATGGCACCATCTGACTTCCTTCCCTGCAGCATGCAAAGACCACATAATCTTGCCACAATCTCCATCACAAGACATAGTTGAGTCTACAGCCTGATCTCAGTAATGCTCCATGTACCCCTGAGCTGGCAGCAGCAGAATTGAGAAGAGCAGCAGATAAGTGACCCTTGCCACCAGTAGGAGCTCCTGTTGCATGGAGGAAATGCTGACAGCACAGGGCCCACCCCAGGCCCTTGATACAACAGAGGGCAGGGGGGAGAGGGGGTTGTTCCATCACCGCAGGAGCTGTGGGTTCATTTGCAGCAGCCACTCAATGGTCTCCAGTAGGTAGGCCATGTTATAGTGCCGGGCAATATTCTGAAAGATGTTTATGTGTTCCACAAAGGTCTGAGGGGAAAAATAAGAGCAATCAGGGGAGGGCCAGGCCATGGTGCTACACATGAAGTAGTTGAAAGGGCCACACCACCCTGAAGCATGCAGAGCAATTTGACACACCGAACAACTGAGGAGGCAGGGATAGCCATGATCTTGTACCCGGGCAAGATAAGCCAGGCACAATGCAGGACATGGAAACACGTGAATGCAAGAAGCCAGAAGGCACCAAGAGGAAGCCTAAGAGGTAGGATTTTGAATAACTTTTCCAGAGTCACTAAGAGGGAAATCCTGTGGAATATCCTGGGGACAGGATCCCTATGCACTCTGAAGGAAGAGGAAGCACACACCTTGGTCTGGATCATCAGGTTGAAGTCTCCTGCACAGCTGCAGTACACAGGCATGTGGCTTTCCTTCACGCCTTTGCACTTCACACACATCTGGAGAGCAAAGGGACTCAGATTGAGATAAGGAGACAGGGCTGGCTATCCCCATCTATCCCTCCAAACTTTGCAAAGGAATGGAATGGTCTCAATACGCTCACCCCCAGACAACCAGCAAAGCCTCTCCCCCTGGGGTGAGAGGAAGTTTGAGGGCTGAGATCAGGACCCACAGTCCATCAGAATATTTTGTGATAAATATATGAGGGTTGTCCCAGCTAGAAGGTATTGCAATTATATTCAGTGATCATAAGCTGCTACATTGTGCAGTTGAATAGCACTGAACAGTTGTGCATACAGCAATCACTGATCACAGGCCATAAGGGCCCCTCTAGACATACAGGTAAAAGGCATGACAGGATCTGATGCATAATCAACAACTGTGCCCACAAGTGCATGGCCAGAGGTGTGACTGTGGGATCCAGCATCAGATCCAATCACATTTAATTGCCAATGCAGGTGAAACCCAGGACTGTGATCCCAGGCTCCTCTGGCCCTGGCAAGTAGCAATCTCCTGCAGATACAAGTCCTGCAGCTGATGGGACTTGCAGCCATCTTTAATGCGAATATGTAGCAGGGAACCTCCATGGCTCAGAGCCTTGTCAGCTATCAGAGCTTCCAGCTGCAGGGGGGCACCATGCACTGCTGAGACTGGGAGTCCTGCATCTGATGGGATTCCCAGCTGTGGCAGTGCCCCATGCATGGCCACAGGAAGGAGTCCCATCAGCTGTGGGACTTGCAGCTGCAGCAACGCTGCTGTGAGCTGTGGGGTTTACAGCTGCAGCATCCTCTCCAATACAGGGGGCAAAAGCATGAGAGCTGCTATGGAGATAATGCCAGCTTCTCACCAAGTCCTGCAACGTAAAGGCCATCAGCTTCTTCTGCAGGGCCTCCACCAATGCTTTTTCGATGGAGTCAGAATTATACTCTGCCTGGCAGTTTGAACACACCCAGCTGGGCAACACAGACCCGTCCTGCAGGACAGAGAGAAAGGGATGAGAGCAAGTTAGGAAGGAAATGCAGATACTAGGTAGCAAATGACAAGCCTGAAGCATAACACCCTGGACCCCTCACCTTTCACAGGAGTGAAATCAGATACATACTTTGTGCAAGACCCTGAGAGCCTGAGCTCCTGGATGAGAGGAGCTGTGGCAAGCTCACGTGGCAGCCTCATACCTGAGAGAGAGCAGGGTCTTTGCAGAGATCAAGGTCCCTACAGAAGTTACAGTTCCTGCAGATAACCTCGGGGAGTACATAGGAACGGCAGGGGTCCTGAAACTGGGCTTCCTCTGAGAATTCACCGACTTCAATCAGGCGCAGGAGATCTCGCTTCAGCTTATTTACTTGGTTGGTTATATTTGCATCTAGGGACAGCACCTTCAGGAGGAATTATCATGTGAGCTTACTAGCATTAGCATGACCCATGGTAATAGGAGAGAAAGATGCACCTCCCACTCAGCTCCACCCCTTCACAAAGTCATAGCAACCTAATCTTCCTCTCCTGGGTATCTGAGCTGGTCATTAAAGCCCCTAGGCTGAACATGGATATACCTCATGTCCTGCACAAGGCAAGAGAAAGTTGTAGAAGAACTGGGAACCAGATTTGGGTAGCATGAAAAGGCATCCTCTTTGTGGAAGATCTGCCTCATTGGTCACAAGTTGCAGCAAGGTAAGTTTAGGTTAGATATTAGGCAAAACTCTCTCATAAGGAGGGCAGTAAAGCACCGGAACAGGTTACCCAGAGAGGTTAGAGAATCTCCATCCTTGGAGGTTTGTAAGACTCAGCTAGACAAAGCCTTGGTTGGGATGATACTGCTTTGAGTAGGGGGTTGGACTAGATGACCTGAGGTCCCTTCCAACCCTAATTTTATGATTCTATGAAACTCACAGGCTACAGCCCCTTTGCTCTCCACAGGAGGCAGGTATGAAGAAAGAACTGCAAGGTAGGCTGAAGGATGCACATTTGGGATCCCAGATTTGCCTTCTGTGACCCAGGCAGGATTTGTCAAGTGCTCTCCTGATCCAGCAGACTTGGGCCTAGAAGTCTTGTAGTGCAGCAACTCACCTTACAAACATACTTAATAAATTCCAGAGCTGGGTTGGTGAGTGGCAGGTAAGAGCCTGGAAGTACTGGGAACGTTTCTGAGGGCTCCGAGGCATTGCGGGAACCACTCATCTTCTTTTGGATTTTCTGCGTGATCGTGAAGAAGCTCTGAGTGAGCTCGTTAGAGACATAATCCTGTGAGAAAGTGATCATACCTGGGGAAGAGGATGGGATGGGGAGGGAGAGACAGAGAGAGACACAGGACATTTGAAGCAGACTGAGATGATAACTGTGACCCTAGCCTTCAGCAAACTGCAGCAGCTCCACTCTTGATCAGGCACACAAAAAAGTGTGTTGGGGAGGAGGAGGGGGAAAGGAAGGAAGAGCTTCAGTCTCCAGTGTAGTATATTCTCACCAGGGAACAGAACTGGCACTCACCTGGCATGGCACCTGTTTCCCCCACAACTTCTTGGGAGGCCTGGCTGTTGGTCCTTCTCTTGATAGGGGTACTCCCTGGAGTATTGCGTCTCATCTCCTCCTTCATGCTGTGATACACAGCAACAATGTAGGCTAGGGAAAGGGAGAGGCAATGTTTCATATAGGATCCAAGCTGTACACCCAACCCCACTCAGAAGCATCTCCTAGGCTAAGAGCCTTGTCTGAAGGGCTCTTATTCCTTGGGACAGAATGAACGTGCCATATCCATTCTGAATGCCATCTTTAGCAGAGCTACTTCACCTTGTCAGGCCTCCCATTTTATGGGACTCCCGTTACCACCTTCATTCTGGGTTTTACAGTACCCAGTTGCATAACTAAGGCAGGGTGACTGGGCAGCAGCTCCAGGCAACACCCTTGGAGGGAGGAATAGAAAAATAAGGTCTTCTGCCACAGCCACAGTGGCAGCTTCTGTGCATTGTGGAAAGCAAGTCATAAGAGGAGAGGCTGAAGGAAACAGGTATGCTTAGCTTTCAGAAAAGGTGCTTAAGAGAGGACTGAAATATCTAAAGAGCTGTTATAAAGAAGGAAAAAACTTTTTTTTCTCTTGCTCCAGAGAGCAAGTATAGCAGGGTGCTCTCCAGGGGTGGCTGTGAGGCCCCTGGAGTCCCTTCAGCCCTTATCCACTCTGCTGTCTTTGGGCAGTCACCCCTTCGTTTGTCCACCACGCCTTGATGCATCTGTTTTTATGTAATGGAGGCTGCCCCAGGGCTTCCCAATCTGCTCTCATTCTAATGACCAGGTGTCTGTGTTCACTGCCTTAAGGGCTTACTGCATGGCTCTATCCATTGCTACACCGTGCCCCATGCCTTGCGGGTATCATCATTCACTGATGTTCACTCGACATACTTAGCCTCTTTCTGGGATCTCAGACCCCCTGATCCCACACTCACTGGACTCCTGCACTCCCTGCTAGGTCCCTAGGGACATCCTCCAACCCTTTAGTCTCTTCCAAAACTTCCAGACTGCTGCAGGCTGCACTCTCCACATTGACATTCAGGAGCTGCAGCCATCCTGCTTCAGAAATGTTCCCCTCAGCAGCATCTAGGGCCCTACTACTGGCTCAGCTCAGGGCCTGGGTTAATAGCCTGTCTAAGCCCAGCACCTTCCCTGGTCATGTGGCCTCTGATTGCTTTCCTGCCACACCTGCAGCCTGTTTGCTCTTACAGTAGGAGGAGCACCAAGCTTCCTGCTACAGTAGGATGTGGACCAGTGGCCTTTAGTTGCAGCAAAGTAAGTTTAGATTGGATATCAAAACATATTCCTTCACTATTAGAACAATGAGGCAGTGGAATAGACTGCCTAGGGACACTGTGGAGTCTCCAGCACTGGAGGTGTTCAAGAGACTTGACAAGTACTGATTAGGGATGATCTAGCAGTAGTGATGTCTATATTCTATTATAGGCATTTCCCATGCTTCTGGGCTTTCCTGGCTGCCACATGGGGCCAAGAAGGATTTTTCCCCCTCCTGCTGCTACATGTTGGGGAGGGAAGGGGAGGTGGAGGTGAGGGGGAGAGGTTTGCCTTCCTCAGATGCCTTGGGTGTTGGCCGTTGACAAGGCTGGAGATTTTGACTGGGGTATGCCAATGCTCCTGCTGGGACAGAAACCCAAAGATTCCTGGCTAGAGGGGGTCTTACCCCTTTGCTCAGGGTCTGATTGAAATTTGAGATCAGGAAGCAATTTTAACCCCATGGTCAGATTGGTATAGATCGTGAGGGGCTTTGCCTTCCTCTGTAGTGGGAGGCATGACCTTCTTCCTTGAATCCCTACAGGGTATTTTAACAAACTCTGCAGCAGCAGGATGGTGGCTGCTGTGGTCCTGCTTTACTTGTGGCAGGTGGAGTCTTATGTCTTGGGGTTTTGTCAGGGATGACGGCATAGTTTTGATAATGGTTTAAATAATGGATTTTTATAGGATGGTTTGGATGGGGATGGACCTGCATCAGGCAAGGGGTTGGACTGGATAGCCTCTGGAGGTTCCTTCCAGCCCTATGTTTTCTATGATTGCTGCTGCCCTGGGTGCCAAGCTGCCCCATTTTGCTTCTAACAGCACCTAAGACAGTGGGGATTTAGTCCATAACTGGGGATCTTAGGTACTATCCCAAAACAGATAAAGGGCATAGAGGTCTATTCCTGACTACCAAGGAAGCATCACTGAGTCCCCTCAGGGGCTGGCAAGGCAACAGTGAACTTTGGTGGTATCCCCTGCCTTAAGCAGGAGAGAGAGCTCTGAGCATCAGTCAAGTGTTCAAGGGAGGAGGGCCTGCATGAACCCTGCAATAAACACTCACCTGACACAATCATGAGGAAATAGCTCTGGCAGGAGGCAGCTTGGGGTAGGTATTGTACAATGTTCCAGTTGTTCTCCAGTAAGTCTTCCACACTGGCCTCTCCATCTTGTTCCTCACTTGCTTCTGCCTCCCCCTCTTCCTCCTCCTCACTGTCCTCTTCATCTACCTCTTGCCTTTTGTTGGTGTCTTTCTATAAGAAGAATTTAACCACTAGATTGTCACATGCTCTTGAACCTAATTTACTGAGATGACAGCACATTGTGTCTAACAGCAGCGATCTCCTTCACTTCCCCATACCTCAAGGCATCTTTCCAGATACTCAGCTCTCCGCAATGTTTCAAAAGGGTGCAAAACCCCTTCTCTAGACTCTTACCTCTCCATAGTGGATGTTAGATGGCACTTTCCCTTTGATCCCCCCATAGTTCGCTGGGTCCATCCAGAGAAGGAACTCCCAGCAGCGGGAGAATGAGATGGTCAAAGAGTGGAAGATCTCTTTTGAGTGAATGCTGAGGGGCAAGAAATCAGAGTCAGCCAGTGATCCATGAAGGCTAGTCTAGCCCTGGGCTCTGCCTACTCCTCCCCACCTCAGAGAGACAGAGGGAAGCTTCCCTGGGGACCCAAAAAAATAACAGTATGTGATGCAAACAGTATGCAGATGATCCACCCATTTCCCCACATCAAGTCTCACTTCAGGCCCAGTACAAAAGGGCTGAAGTGCATTTCTGTTCTGGTCCTTCACACTATAATGGCTAGAGCAGATGGGAAATGATTTTTCTGCAAGTAATTTAGTGCTAGTGGAAGATAACTGAAGGCCAATTAACAGGCCAGCAGCAACCTCCCCCTACTGCCCTTACTGCACACCCCAGTCTTTTCCTACAGGAACAGCCTTTAGGGCAGAGAAAAGCCCAGCTCCAGGGTCCATTTAGTTTTCTCTGCTGAAATAGGTTGTTCCTGGATTGTCAACCTTGCTATACCATCTGACCTCGCTGAAAGTATGACCATTCCTCACCTGTTGATAATGTACTCCATGTAGCCAATGGCATCCTCAATACGCCGCTTCTTGGTGCACAGTATGATGCGATTGAAGTTGGCATAAACCACCGAAGAGCCAAGACGTTTGAACTCAGTTACCAGCCTGCAGGGAAAGCACGGAAAAGGAAGGAAGATACTGTCTCTCACAGGGCTCTAGGCTATACATGGCTGGCACCAATACAATTCCAGGCCTGTGCTGGCCAAAGAGTACTATGAACAGGTGCTAACTACCATTGTCTGCTTAGTACCCAGTTTTGAAAGAAAACCTGACTGGGCACGTCTACACATGTGCCAGACTGCAGTTGTTACTGCGCAGTCCTGATGCTGCACAGGTCTTTTCCCATGCTACTGTGCTGTGGCATTGGCATCATGGTTGCCGTAGCAATGCATTGAGCTACGGCAATGCATCTTGTTGCCATGGTGATGTAGTGGCTCATGTAGACATGTCCAATTGGATGAGGTCTGGCAGGGAAGCAGGCATATGGCCATTTCAGCTTTATGGAAGTGCATATGCCTTGGAAGTGCACAACAATAACTTTATGTCCTACAAAAATTGCTCAAGCTTACAGATTTCTTGGGGCTATACACTCTCTTTTTAAAAAAAGGGAATGAGCCCAGGGAGTTCCCTTCATCTGAATAGACAACACAGTGAACACCCTCCAAGCCTGCACTGCCCTTGTTCTTGTAGCAAGGTAGTTGATCATCTCCTTGAACTGTGTTAACCTGAATGTCTTAGGAAAGACATGGAGGGAGGAAGAGAGATGAAACACTGGGGAAAGATGGGGATGATTCAGGGGTTCTCAGGTTGTTTATTTACCATCTTTAGCACATGCATTCATTTCACACCTATTTTTATGATGGTATTACTAACCAACAGTATTTGGGAGCTGTTGTGCACCTCTGGTGCAGGCCAGTGGCACAGCTGCAGGCCACAGGCCTCCGACTGGTGTGTCTTTTCACTAGAGCCAGCCAAATACATCACTGTGGGGTGACTGGGGCGTGCTCTGCCTGCAGCTGGCACCTAATTTATTCCATGATGCTGAAGAGTTTAGGAGAGCTGGCTGCAGCTGCTAATGATGCAAGGACCTAGTTGTAAGCAAACACCTCCAACAGTCACCTTGTAACATACTACAATCACTGCTCGTAGCTCCACTCAACAGGTGTCCCATTTACCCCTTCATGACTGACAAACAGCAGCGCTCACTCACTGTAGGAAGAGTTTCTTCATCATATTATGCAGTGTCCGGTGCAATACTGGGTCATACAGCAATGAGGATGGTGAGCGAAGCCAGCGATAAAAATGGATCACTTGGTTATCTGCATAGATGTTGTGGTATTGTGTAATCTCCTTCACCCAGCCCACCACCATGCTCTTCAGAATCCTGCCAGAAGATAAGAGATCAGTGTCCTAGGATGAGCTAAAGCATCTCTCCGCTCAAGTACAAACTTCCAAGTAGAGGCCAACATCTTTTAAATGGTATTGCAGAATTGAAGAGTGGGAAAAACCTACTGCATCAGAGATATGGGTGACTCTGAGCCCCCACCCCAAGGACTAAGCTGAACACTCTTGTGCTTCTCCCTTCACCTCACATTTAAAGGCCACACATCCAGATACCCTCCCCCAACACGGCACAAGACTAGAGAGAACAAACAGGGATAAGTTACTCCCAACATAACTACAGACTGAGACCTGTCATTGAGCTTGCTCTGACCTTGGAAACCCTTACAAAAGCCCATCAAAATTTTACTGGAAAAAAACCAAAACCCCTATCCTTCAGCCAGACACAGGGGCTGCTCACCCTTTTCCACTGTAGACTACAGCCAACTTAGACTAAGCCAACTTCTGCCAAGTCCCAAAAGCCAGAAGTTATGCTTCTGGCCACTCCACAGATACGCCCTTCAGATTTCTCCAAAGAAGTCTGGAGACACTAAAGCTGCCCAGCCACTGGCTGTGCACTTACATAGTAAAATAAGAGAGCATGAGGAAGTCGCTAAAATTGGCTTTTACAACTTGTTCTGTTGGCTCCTTTGGTCATACCTGAAAGTGTTTGAGCAGAGTGCTGTCTCATCATAACTAGCTGGGATGTTAGCAGCCTGGTTCCCTGTAACCATGTCCTCAAGAGATGCCTGCTGGATCACATCAAAGCTGATGCTTACGCTAGAGGCTCCTTCCATGTCGTTGATGTGATGGGACTGCAGAATGGTGTTTACAGCCAGGCTCTGGATATCCAGCTCCAGACACACTGTAGCAACACACCTTGTCAGCAGGAGGAAAAAGGGACTCCAACTCTTCCTTTACAAGGCAAAAGGCTAAACAGAGCAGCATCATATTGAAAGTACCCTTTTTTCCAAGCATGCACCAGAAGCTAAACAAATCACTTACAGGGATTATTGTGCACAACAAAGAAATGAAACAGCAGTACAGAAGGATAGCAATTGTGGAAGAATCCTGTATCTGACTAGTGGTGAAGGAATGACTTTAGTGGCACCAAAGAGTCTCAGCACTTTTCACATGGGCCATACCACTGCTGTGTATGTCACCTGAAGGGGGGATTGCCATAACATAGGAAACACTGGTTGTCAGAACTGGACTCAATATGGACAAGTGCAGGGTGCTGCACTTGGGCAGTAGTAACCAGCAGCACACTTATACGATGGGGAACTCCCTACTTGAGAGCACGGAGGCGGAAAGGGATCTTGGTGTCATTATTGACTCCAAGATGAACATGGGCTGACAATGCTAGGTCATGGTTGGCAGGGCTAACCGGACCTTGTCGTGCATCCACAGGTGCATCTTGAGTAGAGCCAGGGAGGTGATCCTCCCCCTCTATGCGACGCTGGTCAGGCCGCAGCTGGAGTATTGTGTCCAGTTCTGTGCGCCCCATTTCAGGAGGGATGTGGACAACATGGAGAGGGTCCAGAGGAGGGCCACCCGCATGATCCAGGGACAACAGGGCAGACCCTACAGTGAGAGACTGCGGGACCTGAACCTATTCAGCCTCCACAAGAGAAGGCTGAGGGGGGACCTGGTGACCGTCTATAAACTCACTAGGGGGAACCAGAAGGGTTTGGGGGAGACGCTGTTTCCCCTAGCCCCCGCTGGCATAACAAGGAGTAATGGGCACAAGTTGATGGAGAGGAGGTACAGATTGGACATCCGAAAAAACTACTTCACAGTTAGGGCGGCTAGGAGCTGGAACCAACTTCCAAGGGAGGTGGTGCTGGCCCCTACCCTGGGGATCTTTAAGAAGAGGCTGGATACCTACCTGGCTGGACTCATTTGAGTCCCGTTTTTGTTTTTAGGGGTTTTTTTTGTTGTTCTCCCGCCCTGGCGGGGGGGCGGGCTAGAAGATCTATTAGGTCCCTTCCGACCCTAAAACTATGAAACTATGAAACTATGACTTGGCATTGTATTGTTGTCAGTATCATATTATTCTGGAGTCACACGCAGAGGCAGCATGTTGGGAAGGATTACCTGTTCATGGATGAAGAAGGCTGGGCAGGGTGGTACCAGAGAGACTAACTAGTTCAGAGAGGCATAAGCTTTCATAAACAACATCCTACTTCATCAGATGCTAACATAGGCTGTCATCTATGAAAGCTTATTACCTCTCTGAACGTATGAGCATAAAGAATTGCCATTTTCTGGGTCAGACCATAGGTCCATCTTGACCAGTATCCTATGTAGCACAACGGGAGAGAGTGGACGCTAAAAGGGAAAGTGAACAGCATTTGACCAGGGTTTTTTCCCCTCCACTGTTTCCCGACTTGTAGCCTCCAGCATTTCAGCTCTAGGAAGCTCTGCTTCAGAGGCTGTATTTCTAACTCCCATGCTCAATAGCTACTGATGCTCCTTTCCTTCAAAAATTTGTCCAATCACTTTTTTTGAATTTGGTTCAACTCTTGGCTTCTACAACATCATGTGGCAATGAGTTCTATACTTTAAAATTACAGACTGTGTGAAAAAAGTTTTTATTTAGTTTTAAACTTACTACAGTAAAATCCCTGTTATGCAGCATTCTACTATCCAGAACACTTTACTAACCGGAATGTCTGGCCAGCTGGCCAGACACGGGGGAGGAGCTTAAGCTCGCACACGGTGGCCACTGCTGCCACCCACCACCCTGTGCCGCCACTGCTCCGTGTGTGCCTGCTGCCATCCCCCATCCCCTGTGCAGTGGTCACCGCAATCCCCCGCCACCAGCCACTCCACATCCATCCGCGTGGACCTGTGCTTCTCAGGTAACTGGCATTTTTAGATGCCCAGCACCCCCCATTCCCCACTCATGCCAGATAACAGGGATTTTACTGTATTTACTGGTTTCATTCTATGACCTCCCTACTCCTCATTTTGTGGGAGATTAGTAAGTAAAAAAATCCCTATTTACTTTCTCTTCACTATTCAGTTTTTTTTACAAACCCTTATCATGTCCCCCTCAAGCTTCTCTTTTCTAAACTGAATAGGCCTAGGCTCTTTAGTCTCTCCTCAAATAGAAGCCCCTCTATACCACTAATTATCCTTGTTGCCTTTCTCTATACCTTCTCTAGTTCTTCTGTTCTTTTTGAGCTGTGGGGACCAAAGCTGGACACAGTACTCAAGATGTGGATGCACCATGGATTTATAAAGGGGCATAATGATACTTTTTACAATTTCCCTTCTCCATAATTTCCTAACATTATGTTTGCCTTTTTGACAGCTGCTCCACAGTAACTCCCAGATTGATTTTTTGTGTGGTAAGAGCTAAAGGTAGAACTCATTATGGTGTAGGTATAGCTTGAGTTATTCTTGCCCATGTGTATCACTTTACACTTATCTATATTGAATTTCATCTGCCATTTAATTGTCCATTTGCTCAGTAGTGCCAAATCCTTCTGTAGTTCCTCAAAATCCACCTTGGTCTTTAACACTTTGAGTAATTTTGTGTCATCCACAAAATTTGGCCATCTTGCTATTCGCCTCCTTTTGCAGATCATTTATGAATATGTTAAACAGTGCTAGTTCCAATACAGATCCCTGGAGGAACCCGCTGTTTACATCTTTCCATCCCAAAAACAACCATTTATACTCACTCCTTGCTTTCATCTTTAAGACAATTTCTAATCCATGAATGGATCATCCCTGTAATCCCATCACCACCAAACTTCATTAAGAGCCTCTGATGGGGGACTTAGTACATCTGGACCTAAAGGTTTTGACAGAGTCAACTGGACCACCCTGATCCACCTGCTTATGGACACCCTCACAAAAATAGTAAGGGTGAGGCATGCTTTTCCTTTGAGAAAACCATGCTGTCCTGTCTACCTGGCCGTGTGTGGCAGCGGACATATTTCAGAGAATGTTACCATGGAGGTCCTGGACTTCAACTTCCCACCTAGCAGCCTAAATTTAGCTTCCAGGACTTCTTTGCTATACTTCTCCATGTTGGTGGTACTCACATGAACCCCAACCATCAGCTCCTCTCCAGCACTCCCTAGCAACCTATCTATGCATTTCATGAGATGTTAACTTTTCCACACACCAAGCAAATCATCACGTGGTCCTCCTGGACATCACAAACCAGCTATGTGCCTAATGACTGAAATCGCCCACTGTTACCACCTACCTCACTCCTGTCTTGTGGGGTCCCCTTTCTTGCAGGAGCGGCCTTGATGCAAGAGGACACTACAACATCAGCTGGAAGGTGGGTCCTATCAAGCAATAGTTTCCCTCTTTCTCATCTTGATGCCCTCCATCCTTGAGGCTCTCATCCTTCTCAGCAGAATGGGGGCTGCTACAAGGAAGGTGGGACTGTTCTACAGTGACACTAAAAGCCTAATCTAAGAACTTCTCTTCCTCCTTTAGCTGCCACCCTAGCCTCAAGAAAACATACTTGTTCTCTCAGAGCCAAGAGCTCCTTGCACCAGGTAAATCAGCGTTTTGGACACTAAATGTAATGCAAGTTTATAAAGTCGCTATAACATGGATGCTAACCCCTTAACAGGGTGTCCTTTCTGCGTCCAGCCACTGAAGTTTCCGACACAAATAAGACAGGCAGATCCTGCTGTGGCTAATGAGTGATCAGTGGACAAGTCAGCAGCTCTCCCGAAGCTGGACAGCTGACATGCATTAATAATCAGAATGGAACTTCACCATGCCCATACCACCCAGCATTCCAGGATAGTTTGCATTTTAAAAAACTGCAGGTAAAACTTCTTTCTGCTCCTCACCTGTGGAGTAGCAGCCAGGGTTGTTTATCTCCACTGAGGCTCGGTCATCAAATTCCATAACCAGGCGATTGTCATCTGCCTCCTTGCCCCCAAGATCTGGGCGGGATGTAGGCGAGAGCCACAGCAGGTGGTTGTGACGATGGAGGTGACGGGAGAAGAAAAGGTCAGAACCAAAGATGGAGATGTCATCAGGGAGATTCCCAATGGGAATGTGATAATACCTGGGTAGTGAAGATGAGGGGCATAGTTAGTCAGCTCAGAGCTAAGTCCAGCTACAGAGACCCACTGGACTGTCCCATCTCAGGGACAAACAGTAGAGCCAGTGATAACTTTGACTTACCTTGGCTTCACAGCCTGTGCCCAAAGTGCCCCCTCCCCAACCAATACACAAATGCAACAGCTCTCAATTGTATTCAGACTCCCATATATCTTCTGCTGGCATAACAGTGGCTCATGTACCTGCTCATCTCAAAGGCTTGGGATAAGCACATGTCCAGGCTGAGGTACTGACGGATCATATGGCGAGCAGCATGGCGCTGCCAGTCCAGAACTCCGTAGCTGATGTCATCTGTCACCCGGACAGGAACCAGTGGAAACTCTTCGAAGACAGGAATCCCACTCACCAACTGCTTAAGGTCCCAGTTGGACTGTACAGCAATCAGTGTGGGGCCCCGACGTTCATCCTGGAGAGGGTGAGTTTGACAGACCAATTAATTGTACAGCCCCCTTTGAAGGAAAGAAGGAGAGGGGCCCCTTTCCCTCAGAGAGATGTTTCCCACTAGCTGAAAAAGTTTGGCAAGGGCAGGAGCCATACAAATCAATGACTGAATATTCTGTCCATGTACTTCTTCAGGACATCAACACAGCTGGAGTGGGTCTGGAGTTCTCAAAGCACTTTCCCCATAATGCTTCATAACAAAGCCCTTGTTGTAACTCTTGCACCACAGAAGGCAGACCATCCCAGGTTACCTGTTTTACTATGGCCCTGGCCTTGACCATATGACCAGCTAGCACTGCAACAGTGTTAATAACACCCATGCATCTTGGACAGCTTTTACTTGTTGATGCAAGGTGCTCTGTAGAACCCCAAACTCAATGTCTCCTAAGCAAGCTCTACTGTTATACTTGCATGTCTGCCAAAGTTTCGGGGAGTGGGGAGGGGACATGAACATTTTGCAGGCTGTACTCTCAACTCATACCTTGTAGCCCAGCAGAAGTCTCTGGATAGCCCTATAGACGGTCTTAAGGTCAGTTTCAGCTCGCACCTCGAATGTGTGCTTGTCAGGAGGGAGCAGCTCCTCGCCCACCTTTGCCAGCATAGTGCTATGCTCTGATGAGTACATACTGGTCAGGTTTGGCATTTGGTTACTGCGTACCTGTGGTAAACAGAGAAGATCAGAGAGAACAATGGACTGGGAGAGATAGGCTCCATATCATAATGTAACAGTCTCACAGGACCATCCTCTCCGTGTTAGCACTTCTGCACCTTAAGAACAGTTTGTAAACAAGCTTGCTGGAAATTCATGCTTCAAGGAACCGCAGAGATGTGTGCCCTTCCAAAGAAATCCTCACATCCACACTATCTCCTAATGCTGCCAGTTGCTTCTTTCTTATTCTTACCGTGTCCAGCACAAATATTGAGGCTTTGCGCTGAGATGGGATGAAGAGGCCAAAGAGTGCCTTTCTGCTTTGGGAGTTGTGGTAGAGATAGATATGTCGTATGCTTCCTAGGAATGCAGAGCAGACATACCAATGTCAGAGATACCATCCCTGAGCCAGGGGGACTCTTGGTATTGGGCGTGTTCAACCCCTCCCACTGAATAACCTTTGATAATCTCACCTGGGTCTAGGTAGCTGAACTGGGCCAGTGAACGCATCTCCAAGTGCTCTAGGCTGAAGGTTTCAGCCTCCCGACCAGAGAGGTGCCTAACCAGCTGTTTGTTGACCATGCATACACAGCCCAGATGGATCAAGGCACGCAGCAGTAATGGCACCTGGAAAGAGGAAAATCTAAACATTAACCCAAGTGAAACACCTGATGCAGCCATTTTGACCTCCACGTTGATCCCAACTGTTCTTCAAAAAGAAGGCTCACCAAGGCTGGAGTGGGGAAACATGACAGATCTTCCAGACATCCCCAGAGGGAAGAAACCAGGGAGTGCCTGATGACAATATTTTACTGACCTAGTTTCCTTTGTGATTTCACTTGGGCAAGCATTTCGCTTTCAACCACAAACTTTATGGGCAAAAATTCTGCCACATTCCACAGAAGGAGAAGTTGCATCTCAGTGGAGGCATAGGAAGTACCTGCATAATCTGTACAACAGGTGTAAAGACTATATTCCAAGTAACAGAATATATTACTCTGCAGGTTTGTCTCCTAAACCAAAGATGAACTTATGTAATGTACAAGATTCAAGGCATGAGTCTCTCAAAACCCCTTCGAAGAGGCCACATTTGATCACACTGGCTGGTGCTGCACTTTAGAAGACGAGTCTGTTTCAGAGGTGGGCAATTATTTGGGCCCGTGGGCCACATAGGGAGTTTTCCTGAGCTGTCGCGGGCTGGGTCAGCAACAACCCTGCCCATCAACAACTCACCAAATCAGCCTGTGGGGGATGGGGCTGCAGGCAGGCAAGGAACAATGTTCAGGAACAGGACAAGATCACGGGGCAAGGTTGCGTGGTGGTAATGGTGCAGGGAAAGGGCCTGAGGCCAAGTTGTGATCCACTGCCCAAATGTCCCTGCGACAGGCAGGAGTGTGCAGGGTGCAGACTGCCCCGTGCTGTCACCATCCCAAGATCCTGGGCCTGGATGCAGCACCCTGAATGGCTCCTGACTGGTCTCCATGGAGACTCTGGGATTGTGGACAGTGCGGGGCTGGGACAGAACCATGATCTGCTCCTTGCCTGCCCCTGGCCACAGAACCAAGGCTCTGCCCCAGCCCCACAGTCGCTTCCCCACAATCCTGGGGTCCCCATGGCTGGGAGCTGTGCAGGCTGGGCACACAGCCAAGTGGATGGGATGGGGCTACGGCTGGGCAAGGAGCTGCATCCAGGGCTGAGGCAGAGCTGCGATCCGCTGCCTGCACACCCCTTCCTAGTGAACTCATGCCATTGCAGGGCAACAGACTGTGGCTCTGCCCCAGCCTTACGCTGTCACTCCCCCAAGATCCCAGGGTATCCTTTGTCCCACCCAACTGTCTCGCTCCTGGATGCTGCTCCTCAGCCACCCACTGCCCCGTCCCAGCCACCCAGATGAGTTCCCTGCCTGCATGGGTCCCACCCCTGGCGGTGTGTGTGGAGTGGATGGGCTGGGGTGCCCAGGCAGCAAGTCGCAGCTGCCAGGAAACGGAGTCCAGTTACCATGTTGTCCCAGCCCTGCTGTGCGCCCAAGGGCAGCAGGATAGGCTGCACATGCCATGAAACTGGGTTACTCCCCACAGGCCTGGGCTGGACGGGACCAACGGACCAGTCATAGGCCAAAATCCCTTGGCAGGCTGGATCTGGGCTGCGGGCTATATTTTGCCCACCCCTGATCTATTTCTTCCTATAGGTATTAAAGATCCAGTAATAGGGTTACCTGAGTCTCATACACTCCCTCAATGTCTGGGGCAGACAGGTCAGCATTGATCTCATTGATGTGTTCTTGGTACATGTCTTCAGGGACCGAGTATTCATATAAGTTATAGATGAGGTTAGAGCGGGGCAGGATTCTATTCACCTGCCAGGGAGATAAAAGACACACTCCATATAGCAGGGCAATCAGCAAAAGCTCCAGACGCACAATGAGCTGGGGTTCTAGCACAACCACAGCTGCTCACGGAACGGGCTCAGGCACACAGCTCTAACAGTTATATGGCAGAGTGAGCAATCCAATTCCCAATAGTGATCTACTCCGAGTGGAAAGAAGTTGGTTGGATTCATCCTAGCTTTAGCTTAGGCACATCACAGACTGACCAACTGGCAGACTCTACTTGCGAGATAAATTCTAGAATAGCAGTAGGGGTTACAGGAAGAGTCTAAGGTGCACCTTCATCGTTGGGTAGCAGGGAACCAAACCTAATCTGCACTATACCTGACTTTAGCATACATTATTAGCTTTATTCTCAGTTCAGATGGCTCCTTTCCCTTCTGTATACAACAGGGCCAACAGGATTCCTCATACCTTTCTATAGATAGCTCCCTCCTCTGGCTTTGCAATGCGCTGATTGACATAGAATAGCCTTGAGATACTCAATTTCATACAATGCAGGTCATTTCCAATAACAGCCCACAGCCTGAATAGGCCAGGCTGGCTAGTCTCAGCAACCTACAGGATATAAAACAGATAAAAGTTTAATCGGTAGAAGGTAGTCTGCAGTATGTTACAAACTCTTTTCTTATGAAGTTTGGAGCATTTCTAGGTGCACTCTCCACATTCAGAGACATTCTGTAGTCCAAGAGAGAGTGCAGCTTTCGCTGGAGCCCATGCACCCTTGATGTTTTCTTAGCCATCAATATTCAATGCCCAGAACTCTGGACATCTCCTATGCACATCCCCTCAGTGCTTCATCCGTTCAGTGCTCTCTTCCTATGGCTGGCAGCCAAACCCTCCTATTACAGGCTAAAGTCCCAGTGAAGTCAGAAGTTACTACTACAGGTGCAGCTCAAAGAACCTACAGAATATGGCACTTGGTTTCCAAATAGTGCTGTGCACATCCCTCCTAACTAAACTGCTAATAACCTTTACATGAAGTAAGGAAGGGTACCATGATGAAAGCCAGCAAATGACCCTAGCCATTAGGGATGTAAATATTATTTAAATTTGTTTCACCTTTAACCTCCTTTAATTATATAGATTAAACTGTTAACTGACACAAACCTAGTCCCTGCGGGGTGGGGGTGGGGTGTACAGAGCCCTAAGCCAGCGCCTGCCCCACCCCAGCATGGGGGAGGGGCTGCAGCTGCCTGCCTGGAGCAGCATGGGAAGTTGGGGCTGCGTACAGACCTGCTCAGACACAGCTGCTGCTGGGAGCCACTGTCTGGGGCCTATGACAAGCAGAGAGGGGGTAGCAGCAAGCCCCACCAAACAACCCAGCCCATGTGAAGCTGCAAGCAGCAGCAGCAGGCAATGGGCTTTCCCAACCCGTTGCAACTAGGTGTGCTGGCAGTTAGGGAGCAGACTAGCTATGGGTACTAATCCCACCTTGTCCCTCCCCCTCCTTTCCTCCTTAATGTCTGACCTGCCGCCTTCCAGTTTTTGTTAGGACACCGTGTGACTTCCTTTCGCCACCCTTCCTTGCCAGACTGCACCCTGCCCCATGCGAAACAATAACCAGTAATCTATAGCTGATTATCACTGGGCTTATCAGTTAAATGATTAATCTTTACCTGTACTATCTGCCAAGGCAGATCCAGGATGCTGCGTGCTGTCCTACGCAGGTAGCTGCTAAGGCCTGTGGAAGATGCATCCCTGATCACCCCTCCGCCCAGAACTACCCCTCCATCTTCTAATCGCCGCTTTTTCTGGCGCTCCTGTCTCTGCCGAGCCTGAAGCTCCCACTTCTTCTTGTGGTAGCGAAGCCAGACCAACCGCTCCTCCTGATCATGAAGACAGCATTAGCTACTGTGAACAGGAACCACAGGATCATGTATAGCAGGGGTCTGCAATGTTTTTGGACAAAGTGCCAGAAACACCTGCATCCTCAACTTATAAGATATTGGCATGCCAGGGATGTATGGTGGGGGAGCTGCAGAGTCTGATCCTTGGTGTGGCAGTGCAGCCCTGGCCTCTTCCCCAAGGCACGTGCGCCAAGCAAAATGCCTTCGCATATCACACTCTGATACACATGCCAGGGGTTGCCTACCCGATACATAGTATGTCACAGGCAACCCTGCCTCTTTCCCCCAACCACGACATGAATGTTAGCTACAAGCACCGAACACATTACCTGTATCTCTCTTACGCACCACCCAATACAGACTAAAGAATACTCCTCTGCAGCTGTCATTTCTTATGCTTACTCTCCTCCTAAAGCCTCTTCATCCTTGCTAAAGTCTGCTCCAATAGTACTCTCTTGCAGGACCTCTAGCAGAAACTTTTACAAGATCTTGTGGCTCTGCATGGGGGTCAAAGCTTCCTGCCAGGCTCAGCAGACCAGTGCACTCTTCATGGATACATCCTAGATTAAACCCAGTTTGTATTACCTTGGTGGTGCCCAAAGGTGGAGGTGGGCCCAGGATCTCCCTCCAGGACTGGGTCAGCTCCAGGTTCTGGGATGCCTGCTGGCTCTCCACTGCTGCTGAGATCCTCTTGCGCTTACTTGCAATGGGCATCAATGGTTGAAGTGGCTTGATGGTTCCAAAATCCTCCATATCAGCAACCTGTGGGTTTGGAGTTCTCTCCTGAGGCTGGTTGGTAGTGACCTGAGGAGGGAACAAAGTGCAAGGAAACTTATAAATAAACTGAGCAGATGTGACGTAGATGATTACAGACTCAGGTGGGTGGCAAGTTGGCTTAAGGGTCACACCCCTAAAGTGGTGGTGGACTGGTAGGTATTGACCTGGAAAGTTGTGGGCAGTGGAGTCCCACAAGGCTCGGTCCTTGGACCTGTGCTGTTCAATGTCTTCATCAGTGACTTGGATGAGGCGTGGAAGGCACTCTGTCCAAATTCACAGATGATACCAAATTATGGGGTAAAGTTAACACACTAGAGGGTAGGGAACAAATCCAGGCGGATCTGGACAGGTTGGAAAAGTGGACGGAACAGAATAGGATGCAGTTCAACAGGGACAAGTGCAAAGTGCTGCACTCAGGGAGAAGGAATCACCAACACATCTACAGGCTGGGGGAGGACCTTCTCAGCAGCACAGCAGCAGAAAGGGATCTCGGAGTCATTGTTGACACCAAGATGAACATGAGTCGTTGATGTGACAAAGCAATCAGTAAAAGTAACAGCACTCTATCATGCATTAGCTGGTGCATGACAAACAGGGTCCAGGGAGGTGATACTTCCCCTCTACGTGGCATTGGTCAGGCCGCAGTTGGAGTACTGCGTCCAGTTTTGGGTGCCATACTTCAAGAGGGATGTGGACAACCTTGAGAGAGGTGAGGAGGGCCACTCGTATGGCTAGGGGCCTGCAAGCAAATCCCTGAGGAGGGGGACCTGAATCTCTTCAGCCTCTGCAAGAGAAGGCTGAGAGATGATTTTATGGCTGCCTACAAATTCATCAGGGTGGGGCAGCAAAGAATAGGTGATGCTCTGTTTACCAGGAGACCCCTTGGAGTAACTAGGAACAACGGCCACAAACTGACGGAGAGCAGATTTAAGTTAGACATCAGGAAGAACTTCTTTACAGTAAGGGTATTCCAGATTCTGGAATGGGCTTCCAAGGGAGGTGGTGCTCTCCCCTACCTTGGGAATCTTTAAGAGGAGGCTAGACATGCACCTGGCTGGGGTCATCTAACCCCAGTGCTCTTTCCTCCCCATGGCAGGGGGTCGGACCCTCTGATCTCCTGAGGTCTCTTCCAAACCAAACAGCTACAAATCTATGATGTGTTGGCCAAGGTAACGGGCAGAAACAGAGCTCTTTGACTTGAGCACAGCATCAGTTAGTCCCGTGTACCCAGTCAAGTCTTCGTTTCCCACTACTGCTCCTTACAGCTCTCTGACCCAGACAGTCTGTTTTCTCACCCCCATTACCTGTCTCTTGCCTTCACTAGTGAAGAGCTCACTGATTTTCTTCTGTTTGTATATGTCATTCTTCTCCAGGAGTTTCTTGTGCAGCCAGTCAGGGTGTCGGACACGGGGCACTGGATTCTTTACCTGTAGAGACATCAAGCCACACCATAAAAACCCAAGATCCAGTTGCTTCCCACTTCCAGCCTCTCCTGCCCTCCCCCTCTTACTTGCTGCAGTGCTGCTGGGATGGTGATGATCTTCTGAATGGTGCTGCCCAATCTCTCAATGTAGTAGTCCCAGTCCAGAATCTGTTCACAGGACAGAACATCAATTAGCATTGGGGAAGGTGAAGAAATGGGATCCTGAATTATGGCTTTGCTGAGGTGCAGGTGCAAAGAGGCTCCTTAAAGCCCCTTTCCCTGTCAACTATCCATAACTCTGTCAGGTGCCAATGGCACACAATTACCTCCAGCAGTTTCTACCTGTTATTGGAGAATAATGGACTGACCTGCCCCACAGAGTCATTTCCAGATCACTCACCGCTCTTATGTTGAAGTCCTGCATGGAGGGACTCTTCAACCATTTCCGGAGATAATGCTTCCGTACACTGATCTCTGCTTGGAAGATAGCCAGCGGGATGGCCCTGAGTAAGACAGGGGAGCATCTATCACCTACTGGGTGCTGGCATTACAGATACAATGGAATGCTATTCCTGATTCTGCAGGAAAAGCTCCTACGTTTTATATTTCATTCCTCTATCCCACTAGGCCTGGTTAAATTGGACAGAAATACAGCACATTTTACTTTAGCTACCTGTTCCCTTTTTGCATGCCAGCTATAGTATTTATTGAAGATTCACCTCTCAGTGACTGGAGACCCTTCTGGTTTCTTGGAGATGATGAATCGGCAGCTCAACCCAGCATCTTTTACCATCTGGTCTCCTAAGAACTCAGCCAAACGTTTGGCTGTGCTGATGGAGGTAGATTTCTGTTCTCCATAATCCTCCAGTTTGCGGGACATGGAGCGATTCTCAGAAATGAGCTCAAAAAGCTCAGAATCAGGCATGTTGGCAGCCTGGAAAGAGAGCAGATCTGTGGGACCATGCCAGCAGGCACCAACGATTAAACCTTCCTGGTATTATAGCTGTGTGAGCACATGGCACTTCACATGGGAGACATTAAAACAACTCTGCCTCTGATGCTTATGTAATCTAACAATTTAAAACATTACAACCTTAAGTAACACCAGCACATTTTTGTCGTATAAAGTAATTATAATAAATCTGTTAACGCGTACCACTAGCAGGTTGTCTGTGTACCACTGGCGGTACATGTATCGCAGATGGGAAACCGCTGAGCTAACATGTATAAAGAACACTGTAATTTTAGCTTGTTTCAATGTATTGGTGAGGTGGGTAGTGACAAAACTTTGCACTTTGAGTCTGGGAAGTCTAGTTTTGATTGTCAAGAGCTGTCATATTAAAGATAAATCCCCCAAGAAGTTATCATCCTGATCTGGAACAGGAGTGGCCCTCAAATGCCTTCTAAATGTCTTAGATTTATACTCCCACACCTGGCATTTTCTGTCAGCCCTCTCCAATCCCGATATAACTAAGCTGGCTGAAATACACATTTATCTTACTGCATGATGACGAGATTCTGGGCTCTATTCCTTCTTCTGTTTCACTGCAAATCTTTGGGGAAAGACACTTCTCCATCTATAAACGACCACCTTTGTGCAGAGTGCTACCATATTCTCAGAAGGGGGCTGATAGAGACCAAATACTTGCCCAGCCATGACTAATTCAGCCAAAGGAAATTCCACAAATCACTGACAGAAAGGCTTCTACAAAAGGGACCATTCTTAGACTTCAAGAACAGCATAAAGAAACCAAAACAATAGAGCTGGAATGGGAATGACTTTGGGAGAAATTAAGGTCAATCCTGCTCTTGTCCATCCTGCCTCTCCACCAGTACAAGGCAGCAGAGTACCAGCCCATCTTATTTTCTCATCTACCCTTTCACATGTCCATTTCCCCATCTGAATGCAACTTATAGCAGAAAAGCAAAGGAACTATTCTCTTCCAGATGCTTGCTCTTACCTTGCTGTAAAGCACATCAAGCCAGTAGTCAGCCACCTTGGCCACAGAAGCATAGACTTCTTCCAGTGTTGTGCCCTTCAGGAAGGCCTCAAACACTGATGACTGGAAGATCTTAACTAGCTGCAGCTCCCCACGCCGCTTCACTTCAAAACCTTTCAGCTCAGCAAGGGATCCATCCTCATTAAACACTGCATACCTAGGACACAGAGCTCACGTAAGACCTGCCCTGTACATGAGGTACAAACACTCTTTAAGAAGCTCTGCCCATCCCATCTTCCTCTCACTATGGACCTCTCTCTCATATTACTCAGCCACACTGCTGTACTGGCCAATGATCAGAGTACTGGCAGAAGATAAGATAACATTACACACACAAGACTAACAGGAATAGTGCTGAACAGTTAACAGAGCTCCTGCTCTATTTTGAGCTCACAGTCTGGGTGAGAACTTTTCCTACAGGAGTGTTTTGTGCAACAAATGGGCCTTCAGGAGTTCATTGTAAAACAAGACAGGTAACTGATAGATATTAACTGGAGGAACATTCTGCAACAGGTGACACAAGAGAAGGAGTAAGGAGCAGCAGGACAGTGTGAGTAGAGAAAGCTAGAGGCAGACAGTGCAGAGCTGAGCTTTACAGGGGAGGGCAAGGCTGTTGCCTCTATGTGGAATAGAAAAGGAACTAGTGAAGCAGTTTGGAAAAGACAGATTCTGTTACTCTTGGCCACCAAGTCCCATATGGCTTTCCTTCAATTTTAGGCCCCAGTTCTACCAATTACCCACGAGCCTGGATGTAAACAGTGGGTTGCTCTTGTGCAATTCTAACCTCGTGTGAAGCCCTGATAATGGAATAAAGGTTATATATGATTTACATCACTTAGACCAGTGGAAGCCAACCTTTGGCAGGCATGTCTCACAACCTCAACTGCTACTTCCAATCCTTGCCTGACCCGCTGCTCTGCTTTTGGCTCTTTGCCCTGTCTGCCACTTTGTTTTCTGCTCCCTCCCCAATCTGCTGCACCAAACAGAGGCTGCCTGTGCAACTTATGGCATGGATGCCACAGGCTGGACACCTGTGACTTAGCCAATACCAAGGGAAGCCCAACCCCACACCAGGGCATGTAGTTCAATGTGAAGGAAGGGGACTATGGAATGCCCTCCACCTGCTGCCATTACCACTGGACACGCTGGGGTGGGAAGGTGGCTGTTAGCAGCAATTGGTTCAATCTGATACGTCAGGAGACAAAGCAACCCTACAATTGCATCCACTCATAGCTTATAACTTCAAGTCACAGACCCCAAAGTAACTAGATATGATGAATGCAGAGGCCATTTAATATTTGACATTCCACTAGTATCCATGGCTCAGGTCTGGCAGGAGGCTGAAAACAGAAATGGAGAAGGCTCTGTAACCAGGCAATGAACAGGGATAAGCAAGGAGATGTAAGGTAGACCCAGTTCAATGGGGCTAGACAAAAGTACTAGATTCCAGGAATAGAAAATTAGGTCCACTTATGTTCCTCTAGCTACTAATCCACTGCATAGATTCATAGGTTGTAGACTGTAGAGTCAGAAGGGACCACAATGGATCATCGTGTCCAACCCCCTGCCCCTGGCAGGAAAGAGAACCGAGGTCAGATGACCCCAGCCAGGTGACTATCAAGCCTCCTCTTGAAGACCTCCAAGTTAGGTGATAGCATTACCTCTTAGAAGCCCATTTCAGATTCTGGCCACCATTACTGTAAAAAAAATGTCTTCCTAATGTCTAACCTAAATCTACTCTCCACTAGTTTGCACCCATTACTCCTAGTTACTCCCTGGGGTGCTCTGGTAAATAGCGCATCACCAATTCCCTGTTGTGCTCCCTTGATAAACTTATAGGCAGCTACAAAGTCTCCCCTCAGCCATCTCTTGTAAAGACTGAAGAGATCCAGATCTCTCAACCTCCCCTCATAGGGTCTTTCACGGAGGCCACTAATCATGCGAGTGGCCCTCCTCTGAACCCTCTCCAGATTCTCTGTGTCCCTCTTGAAGCGCTGCAGCCTGACCAATGCTGCACAGAGGGGGAGCATCACCTCCCTTGATCTGTTGGTCATGTATCTACTAATACACAACAAGGTGCGACTGGCCTTGTTGATGGCCTCATTACACTGCCAGCTCACATTCATCTTGGAGTCAGCTATGACTCCAAGATCTCTCTCAGCCTCTGAGCTGCTGAGGAGGTCATCCCCCAACCTATAGATGTGCTGGGGATTCCTCCTTCCTAGGTAGAGTACCTTACATTTATCTTTGTTGAACTGCATCCTACTTCGTTCTGCCCATTGATCCAACCTGTCCAGGTCGGCCTGTATCTGTTCCCTACCCTCCAGTGTGCATGCTGTACTGTACATATTTAGGGTACCAGACAATGAAAAGCAGACCTTCTAAGACTTTCTTTGGCTGCCTAATGCATAGCTTAATTCTGTGTGAACCTACATATGGATAACAGTCTCTCCCCCCCATCCATCTTACCCCCAAATGGAGCCAAAAAAAGGCACTGAGGGAAAG